GGCGAACCAGTGATTGCCGTCGGCCGAGGCCGCCGTCTTCGCCAGGACCAGCACGGACTGTATGGAGGAGCACAAATCATTTCATTGAGAATGCGGACCGGCTCCAGTCTGCTTCCAGCGCATGGGACCACTTGATGGATATTTGGCGTTGAACTGTCACGTGGTTTTATTGGCCGCGGGTCAGGTGTCATCGTTAAACGTGTGGCATACTGTGTCGCAGCGCGCAGCAGCCCAAAGCCAGTCGATGCATTGCCAAAGTTTTTCCATCCACGTGCCGACTGGCTGTCACAAAGTTACATGACCCAGAACCCCCTCCCTATTCACCGCCACCCCTACCGGCACTGCCGCCGCCGCCACCGCCACCCACAGACTCGCGCAACGCCGCCGAGGCGCCGTAAATCCGGCAAGTGTAGTTAAAGTCAACATGCGAGTACCTGCTGGGTCGGTCGCTGGTCGGCTTCGGGCTCCAGGGCAGGCTCCATGGCGGGCTCCACGGTGGGCTCCACGAGGGGCTCCGCGACGGCCTCCTCGACGGGCTTCATAGCAGGCTGCGGGGCAGGCTCCAGGGTGTCCTCCACTGCAGCCTCCACGGCAGATTCCAGGGTGTCCTGCACGGCAGCCTCCACGGCGGGCTCCACGGCGGCCGTAGGCTCGTCGCTTGATTCTTCGCCGGGTTCACGGACGCCGGCCGCCACTGTACTCGACGACTCCATGTTCGTGCCGCTAATCAACGCACATGTCCGCCAATGAAGAAGTCAGCGTGCGCGTGGACGCGAGGACCGGCCGCGACGAGGGTCTGCAGCACGTCGAGCAGCACGTCGAGTAGCACCTGCAGCACCTGCAGTGCCGATGGCGCGCACTGTGACAGCGGCACTGTCAGGCGACACTGCGGCGGCTGCAGCATAAACAGCCGGCGACTCGTCGAGCACGCCGCGCACACGCCCCCAGACCGGCCCGGCCCGCCTAGGCCCGCCGGCGCGGCGGTCGCGCTGCTGGCTGCGCTGCTGCGCTGTCTGCTGTCGGCGCGCGCGGGAAGCTCCCAGTGTTGCCAACCGCGGACCGCGGCCGTTCGGGTGGTTGGGCGCGGCCGGGGCGGCGACGACAGCGAGCCGGACACACGCACAGCACACGCGAGGAGCACACCGTCGTCAAGGTCCACTCCACACACGGTGAAGCGCGGCGAAGGAAGGTCCTAGTGCGGCGCGGCTAGGTCGGCCTGCTCGTGTCAACAAGGCGGAGTCCCGACTGGCTATCGGCACCACGCCGCGCCGCCGCGCGCCGCCACGCCGCCACGCCGCCGCGCCGGTCGGCAAGGCCAAGGCTGTGCCAGGGACTGTACCAGACCAGGCTCCGCCAGGCTCTGTCTCTGGGAGGCTGGGCGCTGCCGCCGAGGCCGCCGAGGCCGCCGCACCGTCGTGGGCGTCGTCCCGGGTGAGGCCGTGGGGCCGGCGCGCAGGCCGCCGTCAGCTGACGCGGCCACAACACGGCCAGCTTCACGTCGGCGCCGACGCTAACGCCACCCTGGCTGTTGCGCGCGGCACGGCGCGAGTGTCACGGGCCGGGGCGCGGTATTCATAGAGGCCCACCTGATTGCGGCTGTTGCTTCGCGCCTCGCACGCGCACACACACACACGCACGCACACACGCCTGCCAACACCATCGCCGCGGCGTTTGGGGCCTTTGGCGCCGAGACGTGGCGAGCCGCGCAGCCGCGCGCTGTCTCGGACTCGCGCGTCGCCTCGCGTGCTTCGCGCTGCGCGGTGTTCCGCGGTGGGGCGTAACTACGCCTCGCCACGCCGCGCCGCACGTGCTGCGCTCTGTGTTGGCGACCGGGAACTAGGCGGAGCGGCGGCGCGGCGGGGCGGCGTGGCGGCACGGCCGGGAGGGAGACAGGGAGCCAAGCCCAGGGGGTGGTGGAGCCTCTCGGAGCGGCGCAAGCGGCGCGGCGCCAGGGCAGGGGAGGGCGAGGGGAGGGCGCGGGGCGAGGGGCGAGGGCGCGCGAGAGGCGACGCTGGCAGCATCAGGGGGCGCTTTCTTTGCCCGGGCGGAAAGGCGGAAGGGCAGAAAGGCAGATCATCCGGGTCATTCGCCGCATCACTTCCCCCAGCCGCAGCCCGCCCGGCCTGCCTGCAGCCTGCAGCATGATGTCCGACAGCGCTCTCTCTCCCGCACTCATAGGGCACCCCGCTGGCGTGCGAGAGAGAAAGGCGACAAAGCAATCGCTCTGCAGGCCCCACTTCCCCGCTTGCATCTTGCCCGCATCGCAGCCGGGACCAAGGGTAGGTCCACGGTGTTCACAAGGCGTGCCAGCCTTACTGCCCCCAAACCTCCACCATGGAGCTCTATTTGTAAAGTCAGCGGGGGGCCAAGAAATCTGCGACGAGGCGATTGGTCGATGTCGTCACGGCCCCCCTCGCCGCTAACAGAGTCTGCTGCGGCGGCGGATGCGGGGCTAAACCCGGCAGCATAACACGGTTTGCTATATTGCTTTCTCCGGGCGGCTTCGTCTCCTTTCGCCCGCCAGCCTGCCTGGGCTGCTTGGCTGCTTCGCCGGGGTGCGGTGTGCGTGGCGGGGTCCCGCACACCCCGCCACGCTCCTCCACGCCCCGACCGCCACACCCCGAAACACCCCGCCCCGCCCCGCCCCGCCACGCTGTGCGGCTCCAGTGGGGCTCCGTGCAGGGCCACGCGGGCGCAGACGCGCGGTATAAATAATCGAGGCTGGGGGGGGATGGGGTAGCGGGGGGGAGCCTGGGGCAAGCCCCGTCGGCCCGGGCGGCCGGGCACTGACACACTGAGGCCTCCGGGGGTGCTTCACCTGCTTCGTGCTTCACAGCTTTACCGGCTGGGGCCTCGGCCTTGCCTCGGCCGTTGTCAGGCTGTCAGGTGATGAAGGAGCAGGGGGCGCGGCCCCCAGCCATCAGCAGACTGATTCCGAAAGGAGTTTCGTCGCTCTCTCGCGCCTAAACGGGACACCCCACGGGTGCGAGAAGTACAGAGCGACGAAAGCCACTCTCGGAACCAGTCGGCCGGGGCCGGGCGCCGCTGGCGCCTCCAGACAAGCACAGCCAGGAACAGAGAGCGAACATTCCAATAATGAGGTCTTCAAAAGGTTTTCCTTCAAAGACGTCCAGCGGGCCGCTCCGCTGCCAGAGGAAAATGGATGGGCGGAGTAAGGTACAGAGCACGGGGAAACACCTCGCCTGTGATCAAGTCCACAGGGGACGGACCACAACAGTGACCACACGTACAGCTGGAAGAGGAGGAGGGAGAGAGCGGAAGGGGGGCTGTGGACTGAGAGAGTGAGAGAGAGAGGCCGGCCCGACCCGAGGCGCGACAGAGCAGCCTGTCTCCGTCGCACCCCCGCTGCCTCCCCCTTCGCCGAGGCCGCTGGGAGGGCGAGGCGGGCGAGGCCGTCGGGGCAGAAGTGGGCAATATTGCCACAACCCCGCCAACCCCGGCGCCTTCCCCTCGGCACCGCCAGCTCCTGGAACCGCCCCTTCCCTCTTCCTGGAGGGACACGTACAATTACTGCGTGATTATTATTCTGCACAACAAACTCCACGCCGTTTTCTCGGAAAAATAAAGAAAGCCCGCTGGCGCTTTGTTTAAGCCGTCCGCCCGCCGGGCCGCATCATCAGCAAAGGGGGCGGGCGGGGGGCTGGAAGGGAGGGGGGGAGGGGCGAAATGACCAGCGTACTGCGGCAGTCACGACATGACCAAGGCAGTTCTATCGGAATGGTTCAAGTGGCCAGGCTTCCCTCAGATCGATGAGTGCACACACTCACACATACACAGCAACACACTCACACACACACTCACACTCGCGCAGTATGGCGGTAAAGTGGCGGAGGCCGGACGGGGCGGCGACGCGGCGAGTCCCGCGGCAGTAGCTGTGCCGTCCATACCGCGATGTGTGCGTGCGGGGTTCGGCCCCAGAGCAGCGGGGCGGGTCGGCGAGTCGCGCAGCACGGGGACGCGCAGGCGGTGCACGGCCAGGGCCAGGGCATGCAAGGAGGCCAGCAGGGAGGCCAGCAGGGCGACGCCGTGAGTGAGTGCTCGACGCGGACCGGCAGCGTGCGCAGAATGACCGACCACCTTCCAGGCGGCTGTGTAGTGCCCGAAGGGGAGGGGGCCATGAATGACCCTTACCACTGACCAGCAGGGTACTTGAAGACAGTTGTTTACACCTTACCGCTGTGTGGCTGGCAGTGACGTGCCCTCTGTGATTCGGAACAACTGTCTTCAAGTACCGTGCTTGACCAGCCGCACTCCATAGTCGTTGGCAGGCGAGAGCGTAGAGGCATTGACACCTAACAACGAGGTTGGTTGTTCGAGTCCCGCCGTTTCTTTGCTCTTTTCTGCACGCTAACAGGGTGAAGCAATCAAGCCTGGCTTCATACACACCGCCTTACCAGCCTGTCTCCATGAGCCGCGGTGGCTGAGAGCGTAGGGGCGCTGGTCTCCCAATCCGAAAAACTGGGGATCGATGCCCACTCGGTCCACAATCTTCGGACCACATTCCGACTTCGCGATTTTGCGTCGACGGGCGCTTCCCTCGTGGTGATGACTCCCTTCACTACTTTTCATATGTACTTTTCATGCTAGATTTTTCTGCGTGTAATGCGTGCGTGCATTCCCTCGTAATGGGAGTGACAGTGTTTGTCCGGCGGTCGGCAAGTACTTACCGGCCCGCTTGAGCGCGTTTGCGTATGCAGGCGGCGGTCGAGCATGTCGAACACGGCAAGCGTGCCACGCCACGCCACGCCACGCCATGCCAGGCCGGCCGGCCCAATCCGCGTCGACCGGCCGCAAACTGGCACGTTGTAGTTTGTATATCGACCACCGCGGCGAACGACGCTCTCTCTCCCTCCAGGCGAGTCTTGCCTGTCTTGCCGCGCGCGGCGCGGCGGCGCGGCCTCACCTTCAACCTCAACCCGGTCCTCCCGAGTGGGGCGGGGCGGCCTTTCCGTCCAGCGAACGCCACGGCGGGGCGGGGTGGGGCGCGGCGCCGGTGCATCCGCGGACCACGCCGCCCGCTTCGGTAGTCGTTCTCCGGACTCCACTAGTGGACACTGGTCCCGCTGAGGTGCACGAGTACTCCGTCAAGGCACACGACCAAGAGACGAGGCAGTAAGTCTGACGCCGCTAGGCTATTTGTCGGTCCATAGGGCCCCCTCCCCTTATGCCCGCGATTGCTGTCTTGTGCCCAGGACCGTAGGCTACGTTTCCCCTCCCTCGTCGCCTACTGCATAGGTGACTCCTTCTCCAACCCCGTTTCGCTGCGATGTTCGACCTGTGTGTGCGTGTTTTCTTGCTGTTGTTTTTTTTCGCGTGGCCAAGTCATATACACACAAAGTTTGAAGGGAGCAGGGCCGGCCTGGCTGCAGTTGCCCCAGCAAGCTGTGTGTGTCTGGCGTGGCTTGCGTATTCGCACTCCGTAGCCGATGCTGCTAAAGATAGCGGTGCCAACGAGGAAGGCGCCTTGCCCGTCGATGTGTATCTCTGTGTGTATCGCCGCCGCATCGCCGCATCGACACCAGGGACATGTGCCAAGGACGCTGCAGGCTTAGGGCCGACGCCGGGGAGACCCACTGCAGACGAGTCCGACATTTCAAGAGGGTCCTTCTTGGGTCCTTCGCGTTACGCATGTCCAAGCAGACCTCGCTTCATAACGAGATCGACACGTGGTCAAACACGTCGGTCAATTTTTCGCAATTGTTGGATCTAGCGACACGGAGTGCTCAAGCTTTCCTCTCTGCGTCCCCGCAGCCATGGTGCTCTCGCTGATGCCCTTCCTGGCCGCCAACTGGCCCTTCATCCTGGCGGGGATCTTGTGCTTCGTGACGGCGCGCGTCACCATCGCGCCCAGCTTCGTCTCCTCGCTGCGGCGCCGCGGCCAGCAGGGCCAGCAGGGCCGCCAGCAGCACCTCACCCCGGACCAGCGTGAGTAACGTGCGGGACGGGCTAGGCCGGCGCCAGCCAGCGCAGCACGCCGAGCGACGCGGGGCCAGGCTTTGTTCACATCAAAGGGAAATTGTTTCGGAGATCTCTCCGTCCTGGAATCTCACTCGCATACAGGCAGAGCGGGCCTCCGAACCCCGCCTCGAACCCCGCCTCCGGGCCCCACCTCCGAACCCTGTCACTGAACCTCCCCTCGAGCCACTTGTGACTCCAGTCTCTTTCTGGCTGGAAGCGAACTAGGTTGGTGCACACACACTGCATTGAGTGCCGAAAAGTGATTCCCGAAGTGAGTGTCCGCTCCACTGCGCTTTTCGCTCCTCCCGGCGAATAATCCGAGTACTCCCGGAGCAAACCGGAGCGGTGCCATCCCATCCGGTCCTGCAGTCGAGGTCTGCAGTCGAGGAAACCGGCCCGGAAAACTGGATCCAGCGCGGCGGGGTCACGCCGCGACGCCCAACGCAACGCGACGCAACGCGAACGCGACCGCGTTTTGCAGTTTGTTTTGGCCATGCGGCGCGCAGGCTGATGCCGAACTGCGCTGTCTCCCTCGCACTTGCGGGGCGCCCCGTGGGGGTGCGAGAGAGACAGAGCGACGCGGCGCTGCGGCTCGGAGTGGACGTGCAGGATCACAAGCGCCAAGGACACGATGCGATTTTCGCCGAGAAAGGATCGCTCCATTTTGCCGCCGAGCCGAGCCAGCCAGCCGGCCAGCCAGCCGGCCAGCCAGACGGCCGGGCGGGCCGGGCGGGCGCAACAGCGTGCCACGCCGCCACGCCACGCGGCGCTAAGCGGTGCCGCGCTACATCCATGGTGCGAAGCGCCGCGGTGGCGGCGCCCGTCCAGCCCCGTCCAGCCCCGTCCAGCCCCGTCCTCCTTGGCCCGCTCTATTTTCGCTTTCAATTTGTTTGTTTCATAAAGCGAGGCGCGCCGCGCTCTGCGAATTGGGCACCATGGCGGCCACCTCGGCGGCGGGGCAGGGGCGCCTCCAGAATGCTTTTTGGAGCGGTCGTGTCTTTGCCTTCATTCAGGTGGAACGTCGAGCTTGTTGCCTACCGTCAGGGCGGCACCACATCTGACGGGGAGTGGCCATGTCCCCCCCCCCCCCCCCCGTTCCACTTCGGTAAAGAGAGGGGGGGGCTCCGTGGGAGTGGTGGCGATTCGCACAGCTGTGAGGCGATCGGATTTCCTATTAGTGTCCGGAAGGCCGGACGGACGGATGGGCCCTGGAGGGCGCCGCACTCTCCCTTCCGCGTCGCCGCGACCTCTGTGACCTCCTCCCCCCTCCCCCTCCCCCGGAACGCACACGCGTGTCCTTGGGTGCGGGCATTGGCGAGAAGAGAGTTATCCCGTGTTAGTGCTAGTGGAGCCGAATGGTGCGGCCCAGGCCTTTGGCAGCCTTTTGGCAGCCTTTGGTTCGTCCGTCAGAGCCCGTCATGAAACGGGCGGATCAAAGCGATCAGAACGTGAGGCGCGGACGCCGCCTAGACAGTGTGAGAGTCTGCCGACCGCCGACCGTCTCTGGAGTGAGTGTGTGATAAACGTCAGCAGGGCACATGCCGCACGCCACGCCACTGTACTTGATTTCGATAGTGGGGCTGACTCGACCGTTTCAGACTGAGTGGTGTGAGGATACAAAGAAATAAAAACTATGCGTCATGCTCAAGTGATTCGATGTATGTCTCGAGGGTCTCGGACTGTCATGCATTTGCCAATTATTTTAAAACTTGGGGGAAAACCGAGTTTGCGATTACGTGCCACGATTCGTCGTAACCTCGTATGAAATATTTTGGAATAGCCACTCCTTAATAAGCCTTTTTTACAGCTTTTGTAGCAAAATGTTGCTATAAAAATTATTGCCGAACATGGCGGTACAATTTTTATTGCGAAATTCAGACAGTCGGTATTTTAATCTGAATGACAGTGCACGTTGGGTCAATATTCCGACCTTTTTATTTTGACTTTGCGACCTCTCTCCCGCCTCGAGTGGCGAAAGGGGTGGCAGCGGCGGCCCAGGATTGACTCCGCTGCTTTCCATCCCCTACGTGGCTGTGAATTTGAATCTGAATGTGTTACGGCGCGAACCCCGAGGTGAATGTGTCTGCTCCGCGCCCCGCAGTGGCTGAACTCCCCGACGAGGACGCCGACCCCGACGCTTCGGACGAGGCCGACGACGGCCCGGCCCCCTCGCTGCCCGTGGACCTGGAGCACGTCGCCCTCGACTACGAGCGGCGCGCCGTGGAGGACATGGCGGCCCGCGCGCGCAGCTTCTACGAGCTCATGGACCGGCGCCGCACGGTGCGCGCCTTCAGCAGCGACGACGTGCCCTTCGGGATCGTCGAGGACATCATCCGCACGGCAGGTGAGGGTCGGCCTCTTAGCCGCGCTGTCAGCGCCGCCGCCACCCGCCCGCGTGACGCGGGTTCGCTGCGCACCGGCTCCAGTTGACACTTGCTTTTTTATCGGCAGGCACGGCCCCCAGTGGCGCCCACACCGAGCCCTGGATGTACGTGGTGGTGTCCACGCCCGAGCTCAAGCAGCAGATCAGGGACATCGTCGAGCAGGAGGAGCTCATCAACTACACGCAGCGCATGGGTGCGTTCCAAACGTGCCATCGGCGCACTTGTCAGTGTGTACTTCGCAGACAGTTGGACTTGTAGTGTAACCCGCGCGCTTTGCAGGCGCCCAGTGGACGACGGACCTGAAGCCGCTGCGCACCAACTGGGAGAAGGAGTACCTGTCGGACGCGCCGCACCTCATCATGGTGTTCAAGCAGCAGTACTCGCTGAAGGCGGACGGCACGCGGCGCAACCACTACTACAACGAGCTGTCCGTGGCCATCGCCAGCGGCATCCTCATCACCGCCATTCACGTGAGTCCCAGCGGCGGATCCAGCGGCGGGCTCAGGGGGATGAGGCAAAAGTTTCCTATTTACAGTGGCAAAAAGCGACTTTTGGCCGGGATAGTTTTCAAGGGAGGAGGGGGGTGCCTCCATCGTCCCCGACCCCCTGGATCCGCGCCTGCTAAGAGGGTCAGCACCGCATGGCCTCAAACAACCGAAATGGGATCTTTTTAAAAACGATGCTTTGATTGTTGTTTCCAGAACGCGGGCTTGGTGACGCTGACGAGCACGCCGCTCAACTGCGGCCCCGCCCTGCGCGCGCTGCTGGGCAGGCCGGCCAACGAGAAGCTCACCCTGCTGCTGCCCGTCGGCTACCCCGCGGACGACGCCCAGGTGCCCGACCTCAAGAGGAAGCCGCTGGAGGACATCCTCGTGCGGTTGTAAGGGGGAGGGGAGGGGGAGGGTCGGGGAGGTGTTTGGAAAAGAAGTTTGCGGGTCGGAGAGCCGCGCGTAAGCCTTTCAAGCAGGACCTTTCCGGACAGCGGTTGGAGCGCGCTGTTGCGATTGTTCCTCTCGCCGCTCAGCGGCTCTGCTGTCGCTGTCACTTGAAACGGAACCATCCTCTATCAACATCATGGTTAAAAGATGATCACAGTCGGGGGCTTTTATCGTAATGAAAGCTTGAACTTTGAAATGAACTCGCGCAGTTTATTATTTATTTACAAATAGGAACTCCACCACGCGGCGGAATCGATCACAGTTGGCGCCATCGTTGCATAAATTAAACATATCGACACGGACGTCACACGTCATTTCTTTACCACTCACTTTATATTATTAATTCGTAAAAAATACGGTCATGCATGTACAAAGCCATCTAAGTCTAAAGCGAGCGCTTCGCGAATAAAGTAGTTCAAAGGACACTCCCTGTTGTTTCCGTTGTGCAAATAAAATGTCCCTTCCTCGTCTTGCGTGACTCCGGCGACTCGGAGTCGAGTTGGCCGATTCGGTTGATGTCCCTCGCAGCGGGGGCAGGGTGCTCCTCGAGGTGCTCCTTCTAGGACGCGAACTTCCCTTTCGCCGGCAGGAAGCACGTCAGGGCCGCGCAAGCTGCACACCGCCGAGCAAGAAGAAAGGCATTAGTGGAACCGCTGAGGACCCAGCGCGACGGCCGTGGCAGCGGGCAGGAGCGCCTGGCAGGTAGGCAGTGCCGTCACGCACGCGTGCGCGCAAGGGCGCTGGTTGCCTACTCGCCGTTCGCAGGCGGTAGGCGCCTTGCAGTGTACTCACTGAGGAGCGCGCCGCCGATGGCGTAGAAGGCCACCCTGCAGTGTGTGTGCAGCAGCATGCCGAAGATGAGGTTGCCGACGATGGAGCCCGTGCGGCCCGACATGAGGTGCAGGCTGACCGCCATGGCCCTGTCCGACATGGTCATCAAGGTCATCATCATCGCCTCATTCGTCTATGCGACACCATAAATCTGCAGGATGGGCACGGCCGGGCGGCCCTAAGCACGCCTGCTCGTCCGTCGCCACGGATTGGCTCTACCCCCCGTCCCTGTCAGAACCTATGGCACTGTCGCTACTCCGCCCGAGAGAGACTCTCAATGCTAGTCGCCATGGACCAACTCCGCACAGCGCACTGCTGCATTTTTTGCCGCCGCCCGTCGATGCTTCGTGCGCGAGGCATTGATGGGCATTCCAGCTCTCTCGGGCACGGAGTATCGCCGAGTCCACTATAAACTGGTCTTCATGGGTAATTGCATGCTCGAACGAAGCTTACAACAACTACGGTTTAGTTTCACATTGCAGTGTACCTGAGGTGCGTCGGGAACAGCTCCACGACGATGCTGGAGATGTGGCCGATGCCCATGGAGTTGATGGCGACGCTGATGCTGGCCAGGCCCAGGATCACCTCGGAGGTGGCGACGAAGCTGAGCAGCAGGCCGAAAGTCCCGGACACCACGAGGCACACCACTGCGAGCACAGAGGGGAGGGGCGTTAGGCCGCGCCGGCCATGGTCGCGCCACGGTAGCGCCGTGAAGGGACCTGGGCACCTGGGCGGTCACCGAACAGAACAAGCATGTACGCATCCAAGAGTATTATGTCACGTCATGGAAAACCCATCCAGCTGGCACTACGCTGTTCTGTCCGGCGACCGACCACTTGGCGTTCGACGTTCGATCGCAGTTCACGCCGCGGTGCTCCGGATGCGATTGCACGACGATTGCGCCACCGTTTCCAGGGTTTGCAGGCACACCGGAAGGGCGTCCTATCAGCATCCAGCGGCCTGAGCCGTGAGCCCAGCCCCAGCCCCAGCCCCAGCCTCCCCTTGCCGCGTGCCGCTCGCCGCCCCGCTTCAGTTTCCGGCCGCCGCCGGGCCCCGCGCCCCGCCACTCTATTCCTCTATTTACCCTTGCCGCGGCCCAAGCGCGCGCACGGCGCAAACAGACAGAGCACGGCAGCGCGGCGTTATCGGCGGGGCAGCCCGACGGGCCCGACACTCGAGACGCGCCACGCGGCCACGCGGCCCAGCCACCTTCCGCGTCTCAGGCCGAGGGATGCTGGGGATGCAGACCGAATGCGAGAGTCGTTGTCGTCCCTCTCGCACTCGCGGGGCGTCGCGGATGGGAGCGAGACACTCTCGGACTCAGTGCGCTGGGGCGGTGCAGCAGCGTTCGTCGTGGCGGGTCGTCGTCGCCGCGCCGCGCTTACCCAGGAGGTTCCTCTTGCCGACACTGTTGACGACGAGGCCGCACAGCAGCGGCATGGCCAGGGACACGGCGCCGATGATCATGTTGTTGGTGAACATGGCCTGGGACACGGGCGCGCACACGGGGCCGCGCGCGTCCAGGCCGACGTCCACGAAGTCGGCGCCGTGCTCGGGGGTCATGGACCAGGCGCGCAGCCAGGGGTTCTCGCGGGCCACGCTGCTCGGGGCGCCGCTCGGGGCGCCGCTGTCCTCGCTGAAGTTCAACGCGGTGCAGATGCAGCCCGGCTCGTAGGGATTGGCCGCCTCGTACTGAGCCAGCTTGTTGAAGATTTCCGGCAGCCAGATCTGCAGGCCGTTGGCACTGCGGGGGCAGAATGGCAGAATGTTATGAACGTGACTTGTTGCGCCAGGCGCGGGTCCAGAGGGGGCGGGGGGCAAGCTGGTGGACAAACAGTCACACTTTGCTCTCGGCCGAACTCACCTGGCCAGGTTGCCGAACTGCACGATGCAGACGAGCATGGTGTGCAGCAGGAAGGGCGGCTTGAACAGTGGCGCGGTCTGCTCCCACACGAGGCGCAGGGTGCGGCCCAGGCCCAGCGAGGACGTCGACGTCGACGCCTTGCTCGCCATGTCGCCCTTGCCGTTGGCGGTCGCGTTGGCGGTCGCGGCCTCCACCGTGGCCACCGAGGGGCTGGGGCTGGCGGCGGGGCGGTCCAGCAGGGCGACGACCTGGGCGAAGGCGGAGTGCCGTTCAGCAAGGTCGCATGCGTGCAAACGCAAGGTGCTCCTGGTGCTTGGCTGCTTCTTACCGGGTAGTGGCTGGCGGGGTTGCGCGTGTTGAGGGCGTACATCTGCCGCAGGACGTCCAGGGCCTCGCTATGGCTGCGGCTGGCCAGGAACTTGGGGCTCTCGGGCAGGGCCACGAACAGGAGCAGGGCGGACATGAGGCTGAGCAGCGCGCAGAGTACGAGTAGCAGCCGCCAGGGGCCGAACTGCACGAAGCCCAGGTCAACGGCCCAGCACTGCGGCAGCACCGCCCACGCCACACCTGCGCACGAAGCACCAACGCCGCGGTTCGAATCCCCGTCGGACTCGCCTCTTTTCCTCGTCTCTCTCCCCGGCATGTCGTGCCGTGTCACTCACCGGGCAGGACGATGAGGCCGAGCGACGGGAAGGCCCCGATCCAGATGATGGAGCGGCTCCGGGAGGCCGGCGTGTGGAACTCGCCCAGGTAGGCGAAGGTGAGGGCTGCGGGTGCACTCGTGCTGGAACCACCAATGCCTTACAGAACCGATTCCCTAGAGAATTCCAGCGGTGCTTTGGCCCGGAGGAAGAAAAACGAAATCGGAAGTGAAAAATGACGCTCCAGACCTCATCCGCCGCGTACATTTCTCATAAAAACTGTCATTTCTGACTTCCGTTTTTGTCCTTCTTCATTCGGGCCAGGACTCCCTTCCCGCGCTCTGCTGCTCTGCACTTACAACAGGCCGCAGAAGAACCTGAGCGTGAGCAGGGTCTCGAAGTTGGGGGCGATGGAGGAGGCGAGCGAGGCCACGACGTCGAGGACGGTGGCGACGAGCAGCGCCTTCTTGCGGCCCTGCGTGTCGGCCACCAGCCCCCAGGTGTGCGACGACAGCACGATGCCGGCGTAGCTGGCCGCGCCCAGCAGGCCCTTGTCGCTGTCCGACATGCCCAGGTCCAGGGTGGCCGACGGCAGCAGGTAGCCCACCACCACCGTCTCCAGCACGGCCGCCATCACCAGGCATCCGCACACCAGCAGCAGCTTCACGTGGAACCACCCCTGCCCTGTGTCAACATCGCATGTGTTTCATTTATATTCCATTTATATTAAAAATTTTCTCTCTCCTTTTTTTCCCCGCCTGTTTGCCGAGCCAAGTTTGCTCGTACGACTGGGTAGGCCGTGCTCCCGTCCAAAAGCGAGATAAGCGTCTGACGTCGGATCCACTCGGCACGTTAGTGCTTTCCTTCAACCCGCGATTCGGGAGTTCGGACCGAACGTCCAACCCGCTCGTGTCTCGGGCTTGTTCGCCACTCCGTTTCCGTTTCCGGGTGTGTGCATGGCGTGGTGCCCCTCACAGCCTCACAGCACCCATGCAGCACCCAGGTGGCCCCAAGTAATCTAGAAACGCGCCGGCTTCAAACTTCAAACTTTAAAAACGCGAGCGCCAACGGCAGACAGACACTGTGAATGAAGTGACGGTGTGCTAAGAATGGCCCGCCACGCCACGCCACGCCACGCCGCAGGGAGCCGGGCCCGGGCGTGGTGCGAACGAACAGTGCGCGCTTTGGTAGTGGACACCGCGGGTATCCGCGTCTGCAGAGCTCGGACTCAGCAGACTGATTCCGAGAGTCGCTTTCGTCGCTCTGTCTCTCTCGCACCTACTTGGGCACAGCCCACGAGTGAGAAAGAGAGAGCGACGAAACCGACTGTGAGTCTGCAGTGCCGCTGCCGCCGCGCTGCGCCGCGCCTCGCTATCTCACACACCGCTCACACTTGGGTGGCAGGTGGCCCCGCGATGGCACCGACCCGACCGCGCTCGCCGTCCGGCCGCCGCACGCCGCAGCAGCGGAGTGGCACGTGGTACCTGATTCCAAGAGTTGTTTTGTCGCTCTGTCTTTCTCGCACTCATGGGGCGTCCCCTGTAGGTGCGAGAGAGACAGCGCGACGAAAGCGACTCTCTGGATCAGTCTGGCACATCCACGGGGCCGTGTGGGGCCCTTTTACTTTTACTCGGCGGGACAGGCAGGTTGCCTCAGGTGCCCCGAACGTGGATCATAGTCCCCGCGCGCGGGATCAGCCCCCCCGAAGGTCATATGGAAGACACGCGCTGCCCTCTTACCTGTGAGTCGCACGGCCTCCTCCAGAGACACGAACCCCGGGACGCCGTCCGGTTTGCCATTTCTCGTCTCTGCAACCCAAAACACACCGCGCTGTTAACAGTTGGCCATCGTCGTAGGCGGTCTGACAGACGCAGTACTGTAGTGAGCTTGCAGTTTGGTTTTGTTGGAGAAGAATAAGCGGCTCTGCTCGCAAATCTGAAATTTCGTACGAAACATTTTGTCATTGTAACGAAGTTGCATGGTGACTTTAAGTCATCTCGATCACACGCGCGTTTCCTGTTGTCTCGACCTTTTTAACCCTCAACTCGATTCCAATCGCTCCATGGCGTGGACCCACACAAAGGTGTGCGCAAAGCGGCGCAAGGCGATGGCGCTAGAAGCTGTTTCTCATCGTTACGCGTCAGTAGGCGGGGCCATTGACTCATTGTCAGGAGCCGGCTTATCTCCTTCATCTTCCTTCAAAACAATCACGTCTTGCACTTTTTCACGCAGCACTGGCGGCAGCGGTCCGCCGAGAGGACTCGGCATCCTATAAGCGTTTTCTTCACGCGCCCCCTTCTATTACTTCCGGAATAAAGTACTTCGAAGGCGTTTCTACCAGTTTGGTTCGAAGTAACAGCAAGAAAATGCTGCGTCAGGTATCAGCAACGGATACCCGATCAGCCAATGGTCATACGTAGTGACGTTGAAACCATCCCCTCTGACAAAATTTGGAATCTTTTCCTGCTCAAACACACTGAAAATCAAATAGTGATACATCTCACTCTCTGAGTGATGAGACATAACTGTCTCACCGAAAAAATGGTGATACTAAAATGTATCTCCGAAAAATAGTCGTACACGCATGTATCACCGGAAAACTGGTCGTACACGCATGTATCACCGAAAAAAAGGTCGTACACTAATGTATCACCGAAAAAAGGGTGATACTTCCCCAGGAAAACAAGGGCCAATCTCGCTGATGTCTCACCGTTTTTTCGGTGATACTTTTTTGTACGACCCTTTTTTCGGTGATACATGCGTGTACGACCATTTTTTCGGTGATACATTCGTGTACGACCTTCTTTTCGGTGATACATTTTGTATCGCCGAAAATTGGTGAGATGTCTCACCCTTTGAATTGCAGTGCAGCTAAGCTGTTACCCGGGTATGATCGGGTTACCCAATTAAGATCTCCTCTTGGATTTGCGATAAATTTTCCGATCGCGCCTGAAAATCCGTAGTTGCGATAATTTATGCACAGATCGCGGTCGCCGACATACAAACAGAGGCTTGCATCACCTTGGCTTGCTTCGCTTGCCTCGAGGCATCGCTTGCACCGCTCCAGCTCCAGCATGGCTCCAGCGACGCATCGCATGCGCATCACGCCTTTTCGCGCCGATAATTACGGCATGCGCACGGCGGAAGCAACGTCTTTTCGCTCTCTCTCTCTCTCTCTCTCTCTCTCTCTCTCTCTCTCTCTCTCTCTCTCTCTCTCTCTGTCCCACTCGTGGAGTGTTGGGGTGCGAGAGAGACAGAAGGGTGCCTCCTAACAGTGCTTTCGTCGGGCTGACCCTTACGGGACGCCCTATGGGTGCGAGGCAGAGACCTCTGACGCTGCCTCTGGCACCTAGATAGTCCCCTGAAAGCAAGGCAAGACTGCCACTACGATCCTCCCTCAGACCGATTCGTGGAAGCGCCACGGAGTGCGGCACTGTCGCTCTGTCTCTCTCCCACCCAAGGGTAGGTCTCGGGCTGTCTCGCTCGCACAAGTGGGCGCTTAGGCCCTGACGCACTGAACGGGATCGCTTCGCGATAACGAAGGGCGGGTGCAGCATACCTTGCAGAAGCGGCAGGCGCTCCTCGACCGCCGCAGATTGCACCATGGTGGCGCGGCCCGGCATAGGGCCTGCCTAGGGCGCCTAGGGCATCGAATGGCAGCCCGCCGCGCGCCCTGGCCGCCGCCAAGCTTGCCGCCGAGTTGTTGCGCCGGCGCGGCCGCAGCCCCGCGCGCTGTCCCGCCTCCGCGCACCGCACGCCGCACTCCAACGACACCCTTCTCCAGTGCCCACGCCGCCCCGTCTCGGGCAAAACTGCACGCAGTGCCACGCAGTGCCACGCACTCGGGGCGGGGCAAGCCCGGGCCATGCCTTGGCCATGCCGCGGGCAAGACCAGCGGATGCTTATCACTGCGTTTCGTCGGGATGACCAGGCAGGCCTTGCGGGCCGGCAGGCAGTGGGACGGGGTGACGGGGTAGCGACCCGAGCCGAGCCCGCCCGGTCGAAACGCATGTGGGTCAATGTCAACAGAAGCACGCCCAGGCGAAGCGCGAAGCGTGCGGCCAAGGAAGAAAGTCTCCATCGGCCTATCGCCCCAAAGGGCGCGCGCGAGTGTGTTTGTGTGTGGGCGCGTAAGTGCATAAGAACAAGTGAACCTGTAACCAATCTCTGGCGAATGTACCTAGAAGGACCGAATGTACTAGAAGGACAATTAATACCCACCCCTCCCCCGAAATCCTCTGGAGCCCGCATCTGCACGGAAGACGACAATCCTCACTTTGCCTCTGCAAGTGAGCAAAACTTGCTGCTTTGCTGCTCTGGATCCGCCACTGAAAAGTGGGGGCTGAGTGACACTTTGTGTCCCAACAATATACTATCGTAGGGGTAGTTTTAAAAACAAACAAAACAGCAGCAACAGGCAAAATACATTCAAAAGATAGCGCTCCTAAATGGAAGATTATTTGTACGTATCAGATAAAAGGAATCTAATCAGTACCGCGAAAGGCAAAGAGTGGCGAAGGACCGAAGGACACTGGGCTGAGTTCATTCAGATGATGTCAGTGTTGGTTGCCAGTGCCTGATAATTAAACCGAACTTTTCCTGAGCAATATCTATGTTATTTGCTTCTGGTAGCTTTGGGGTGGAGAGTCTGTTTTCAGATTCACGTGTGTCTGCGTGCCCTCCCTCAGTCAGCCCTTACCTGAGTCCTTGGCGGTCATGACGGGGGTGACCGTGATGGCCGGGCTGGGCCGCTTCTCGGGGGCGTAGGCGTCAAGCGCGCTCGGTTCCGGGACGAGCTTCACCTCGTCCAGGACCACGGCGAACTCGGCGATGGCGGTGAGGAGGTCGCCGTCGTCCTCGGGCGGCACGCACACTTTGAACTTGGGCCGCGGACAGCGGTCGACGCGGTCCTTGTCATCTGCGGCGGCTGCGGCGTCGCTGGGGGGAACTTCGGCTTCCTCGGCGTCTTCGGGTTCTTCGGGTGCTGCACCCAGGTGCGCGGCGCCGGCAGTGCTTTCCTCGGTCGCTTCAGCGGTTTCAGCTTCCGCCACACGAGCCGCACGAGAACGAGGCATCTCGCACTCCCCCGTCTCCACGGAGCGGACCAGTGGTGGGGGGCAATAACCGTGCAGGCCGCACGGAACCTTCAGCTTTTGCGAGCGAGCGCAGGCACGCGCCAGAGCCGCCAGGCCAACCAGCTCCTCTTCGTCCTCGTCCTCGTCCTCGCACTCGCCCGCAGTTGCCTCCGCAGAACCCCCTGGGCCGGGCGGAGAGAGACTAGTCTGGCCGTCCAGGATCCTGTCGAGGGCCTCGTCCAGTGCCTGGTCCAGGTGACCGCCCTGGCCTTCACCCAGGTCCTCGTCCAGGCCCTCGTCTTTCTCATCGTCCAGGTAGTCCTCGACCTTGTGCATGGCCGTCTGCAGGACTTCGTCCAGGACCTGCAAGGCTCTCCTCTGGGCCTCTCCGGCCGGAGTCAGGTTCACAGAGGCCTGTGGTTCTGCTTCCTCGGCAGGCGCGGCAGGCGCAGTAGGCGCAGCAGGGCGTGCCTCTGCCGGCAACACCTCGCCGTTTGTGGCGCTGTCGCTTTCTGCTTCAAGTGCAGGACTGTCCGTTGTCGTTCGGGCACCCTCATTTGCCTCCGACGTGTTGTCCCTGTCGCCATCGGGTTTGGACGCGGCGTCTTCACTGGTTCGGGGCGCGCCACCCTGCTCTGAGCCGCGGGCAGTATGCTCACTGGTGACAGCAGGACCTCCCGCATCCTTACTTGCGACAGGCGACGACCCTGGTGTACCCGGTGTGGTGGTGTGTTCCGCGTCGGCCTCGCGTGCAGGATCCTCACGGGCTGCGTCCTCGCGGGTAGCGTCCTCTCTGGTGGGGTCCTCGCGGGTGTCCATGTCGGCGGGGGAGTCCCGACCTCGCCGTGGGTCTCGCTTCCAATCTCAGCGCCGATAGGCGGACTTTACTCTGACAGAGCACGTGCCGCCAGGGGGGCCAGGGGCTTCATGGGGACCCAGGCACGGTGAGGGCCTGGTCGACGTGGTCGGTGCTCCTCGAGGCGCCGGGGTCGCCTCCGCGTAGAGGTCGGAGTGGACTTGCGGTCCTGTCAGTCCGGGTGCGGGCGGAAGGGCTGCTCGCGGGGGCACTCTCTCTCTCACGCACCATCAACACCATCCTGCACCGACACGGCGACACGGCCAAACGCCACGAGCCACGCCGCGTCGCGTTCGGGGTTCGGGACGGCGACGACCACGCCTCACTGGTCGGCCTGGGTCCCTGCGGATGGGACCGGATCGGACGATCGGACCGGCTCGCCAAGTCTCCAAGTACTGCCGTGACTTGGCAGGACGCTGTTGTCAGTCAGCCCTGCCGGCCCTGCCCTGCCTGTGCTGCATGCCTGCCATTGCCGTAGGACCTTCGCTATCAGGTCCTTGTCAAACGGCACCCTCCCTCCCTTCCCCGCATCTAAGTGCGTACAGTGCGCAGCCTGCGCAGCACACAATGCTAACAATACGGGCCACAGCCAAAACCCAGGCCGGGCCTCGGCACCTGGGCCCCAACAACTCCTCGCGACATCCTCCAAATTGCTCAAGATGAATCAGAGGGGCCAAGCCTCGACCAGGATTGTCCGCGAAAGACAGTAGGAAGTTCTAGTCAGCAATTAGAGCGCGTCAGGTCCTCAAAGCTTTATAAAGACCCCATATTTAATTTCTCACTAAACGGAACACAGACAAAGGGAAGCGCAGGGGAAAAAGATAAGAGGAGACGGAGGTTTAAATTGTTTTATTTTATTATACTAGCGGCTGTAGAAAGGCAGGCAGTTCAGATACACCATGTCATATTTTACAATTGTTATTTTCACCTATAACTTAAAAATGGGAGAAGTGATGGATAGATTTGTATCAAGTTCTCATAGGTTCTGAAAGAACCAAAATATATACAAGATCCAAAATAAAAATTGATTTTAAAAACTTACAAACCAGGCTCAAAAGAATTCTCAATATACACACATATCAAACAGAAATGAACAGATGACAACAATAAGAAAGGCTTTTACAGACTGAGTTATTGTTTTCTTCACCACTTTCCTGAGTGCTTTAGTCCTAAGTGGTGTGGAATACCAAACAAAGGTCGAGAGCAGAATTAATCAGCAAGAAAGACTGTGCGGAACTTGGGTTGCTCCCAATACACCTGTATTAGGTACCCCCTAGACTCCTAGGCCCAAGAGGCATGTAGGGCTCTAGTACCCCCATACTTAAAAACCATCATTCCCAATTAAATTACAGAAAAGTGTACTGTTTTAAGTCAGTTTCACATTAATGTTACTAAACATGATTTTCATGAACACATGTTCATGACAAGGCAGTATGAAAACACCTAAATAATACAAATACTAATCTATACACATTAAGTAATTATCCTAATCTTAATAAGAAGTACAAAAAAAAGCCATAGTTCATTGAGTGAATATTGAAAATAAGCAAGATTAAATCAGAAACTGAAAATTCACACCAGTATATCACAATAAAGATGGCTACAGATACAACCCACACTAGACCACTGATCAACCATTCATTTTGTAGAAAAATGTTCTTAAAAGTTTTAAGTAACTAGTTTGAATTTATTACATTCCCCCAAGACGATTCAACTTAGCCTGAATTCCTCTTAATTTTTCAATTAAGTCTTGTTGTCCAGGTTTACTATAAAGGGTGTTGAGGCATATGGAGATAACATCACCTGACTTAGCTACAATAGCCCGTCTGAAAAATAAGTGCATTTTGTCTTGAGTGATCAGATTAAGGCAGATGAATGAAAAGACATCAAACTTTAAGCTTACCTTTCGGTCACTGGGACCATAGTGGGTGTATTTGTGAAGGTATTCACCATGTTGCTGACAGCTTGAATAAGGTGGAAGTCATTGCCCTTTTCTAAGAAACATCTATCGTTAGCAGCAATCATTCTGAGAAAAAAATATGAACAATTAGTGTCAGAATACCCAAAGTAAGACAGAAAAACAGATTCTTGTTGACAAATTAGCTATTACATACTTTTCATAAACATCTAACAGAGTTGGTAGAGGAACACCGGTGGATAGCATTGTGGTATACACAATGGATGGGTCAGCTTTAGCAGAACACACTTCAACCTCAAGAGCTTTGACAAGAAGAGCTGCAAAGCAGAGACAAAAGTGATATTTCCAGGTAACATACAAGTGATTTTCATAAATCTGTCTGCACATTTTGCTTACCAATGGGGAAAGATCTTGAAGCCAGTGAATATTCTCGTCCCAATGTTTTCACTTTGTCCATCAATGCAGATATTCGATCTTGTGTGTTGCGCCGGTTCATCTCAGACTTAATAATATTCAGCCAAATGTTTTCAATGAGAGTGGGGTCCGTGTAACCAGATACATGGATAATGGCTAGCTTGCACTCCCAAAGGTCAAATGGTTCTGCATAGTCTTGATACAGCTGGAAAATATGCATTGTTAATTATACAGAAAAAGAAGAAGAAGAGATACATAGATAGAACAAGTCATTACCTGAGTCATATCATAAAGGTTACTGTTCAATCTCACAATGGCAGTTTCAACAGCATCAGGTTGCGGATGTTGAGAACGAAGATTTGAAACAGCATCCAAAATCTACAAGATAAGGAAATGGAAATATGATGTCAAAGCAGCTCATGAGATATGAGATAGGATACAGAGCAGATGAGAATGTTGAATGAAATTACCTTTTGCTGAATTCGAGCAACCTCCATTTGATCCTCCAGTTCTCGCAAGAACACTCCAAGATTTGGAGCTGCTCCCACTTTGTCACTTCTCATGCACATTATAGCATGAGCTAAATAATCCACCCTCTGTTTGAGATGAATAAGTGTCCTGAAAAGCAGAAGAGAAGATGAGAAGTCAAACTAAAATGTCCGGCATACTTCACAAGTTACCCAGTCACATGCCTTGGTTTGCTAGCCAGTTGATAAAGGATTTTAGCAGCTGCAGCATGGTTGCCATTTCTTTCATGGAACTTCCAGAGCAAGTCATTGACTTCAATGGAATCTGGGCGAGATCTTGCAGCCCGAGTGAGAAAAGCTTCAAGGCCACGGTATGTGTTGCTCCCTGCCAGTAGATCGCCTTCAAGTCCGCGGCGCAGCATCCACTCATAAATGGCAACATGGCACAGTTCATCCTCACATCGCAGGGCTAGATCAATAAGTCTCTTGGCCTGAATCAGAAATTGTTAGTAGAAAACTTATTTTACAAAACTGACAAGCAGAGCTTCTTTTCAAAAACAAAGAAACAAAATTAATCCATACTTGAGCTTGAGAGTCAGTGGGTGCAGATGGAACAGAGTCACGCAATACAGGAGGTCCAGGCGACACTGGGACAACACTAGTGTTGTGGCTTCTTGATTGCCCATACAGTTGATCTAGTACACCAACTAATTCCTTGTATGCATCCATCCTGCAACAAAAAATACATTAAAGAAACCAAAAACAGAAGGAAGATTTAACAAAAACAAAGAATAGAACAAAGGGTTAATGCACAACATATGAAGTCTCCCACCTGTGCATGAAAGCCTGGCAGCCTTCAGTATCTTCGTTAGGCTCTCCATTTCTATAGTAGTGAACAGCAACATCTTTAGGATCCAGTTTGGTAGCAAATGCCGTACACAACTGGAGGACTCCATCATACCACTGTGCTGAGTAGAATTTTGAGCATGCAGCTGCCAGATTAAGGTTGGGAGCAACCTCTTTGCATAGCTGAGGCCAACAAAGCGGATTAACAGAGTTGCACAAGATAGATCTTTTTCATAAACAGACTATAGATTTGTGGTAACTCACCTGTAGAGCTCTTTGCAACAGTCTTTCTTTCTCATCGATGTTGGCTTCAGATTTTGCTTTCATAAGCATTTCATTTGCCTTAAAGAGGAAAGAAAAGTGATCAGTGGAAGAAAGAGAGAACTCAATGGTAAAAGAGAATAAATCTGCTTAATATTTTTAATGGGTTGGCAAGACAATTTGGATCAGAGAATTTTCTCAATATGAGGCTTGGAAAAATTAAATGATGGAGGGATTCATGGATGATGAAGATCAGGGATGGGATTAGGGATGGTCAGGGATCTCAAATTTCAGGAGGAGGGGGCAAGTCTCTGACAGATTCAACTTGAGGATAGCACCTTCAAATTCTGCATCAATGTAACTGCAAAGATAAAATAAAAGCATACCTTATTACAAGCTGCATCTTCATTCCTATACAACTTGGGGCAAATCTCACGCAACTTTGCACTGACAGAGTCAACAGAGGCATTGTCACTTAAATAGCTGAAATAATAATAATAATATAATCATCAGGATGAATATATACAAAACTGCAGAGATGTTTACTAGAGCAGTAAAAATAATTTTTCTAAAAAGGGAAATTGTACAGAACCAACCTATTAATGAGGCTGGTAATCAGAGCAGAGCACAGAGGTTGTCCCACAAGGATTAAATCACGGAAAGTCATAACTGATAAGTGCTTCTGGTCTTCCTAAAAAATACAAATATTTGATCATTGTCTTACTATTTAAGGCGTTGAATTGAAATCAGGAATATAAGTGTCAATACTCACAGGGGCTAGTCCTTGAGCCAAGTTGTGGAACTGATGATCAGACAGAACCTTCCATAATCCAAGAACCTCACAGGTGTGTGAAAGGAAAGTCTTGAGAGCATCCAATGATCGCTTTTCCTCAAGTTGAGCTTCTTGAAGTGCTGTGTGAGGGACAGCAGTTCGGTTTGGTCCTGGAGTTTCTAAAGGATCAACATGGCGGCTCAGAGAAAGAGAAGTTTGAAGCTGGCTGCTGGAGCTGATAAAAAGGAAAACAATTTTAAAATACTTTTATTCTGAACAAGAGAATGGAGAACAAAAAGGAAGAGAACACACAGTGCACCTACCTATTAAGCATAGCAAGTTGTGTGTTCCTCTCAAGGAAGGCTCTAAGAGCATGCAGATGACTCAAAACCCAAACACAGTCCTCTCCGGATACAGCACTCACTAAGAAGTTCTTTCTGTTATCAGCTGTTATGAGTTGAGTTACTTTCTGGCTCCATAAAGGTCGCAAGATTCTACTGACATAAAGGTACAGTCCATTGTGCTTGGCAGAGTATGTCACCAAGTGGCCTTCAACAGCTCCTTGGTGGCTCATGCCCATAGATGCTGCAGCAATGGAGGAATGGGCGGCATGGCCTGCATGCCCATGGGATGCAACAGGAGTTGAAACAATGTTGGGGTTAAAGTTGCCTCCTACAGAGTAAGGGAAGGGTGAGGCAGCAAGATTGGCGCGAACAGGGACTCCTGTCCTTGGCTCCCCTCCATACAAAAAGAAGGCTCTTGTAGCCCACTCAGCAAGTTGAGCATTTTGAGTGCTCTCCAGGCAAGCAAGTATGAGACATGTAGCACATGCCTGTTCCTCTGTTTGAACTTCAAAGAAGGTTTTCACGGCATCATTTTCTGGCCCTCCTCTCTCAGTCATTATTTGACGTAGTATGTCAACTGGTCTCAACTTGTTGAAAATTTCTGTACCCTGTACAAAGAGAAAAAAATCCATAGAAAGAAAATTCATCTGTCGAAATTCAACAGCAAAATTAAAAAATGAGAAGCAAAAATTTACCTGTGGCGTGAGAACAACATATTTCCGAGGAGGCTCAATGTGCTGACGGACAACAAGAGGTGGGTCTGGCTGATCCAGACTTGTGTCTGGGTGCGCTTGAGATGAAGAATCCTTTTCTGAAATTGCTTGACTGTTTGCCACAGGACCAATTGGAAGTTGTCCACCAATTTCAGCCAAAGCCCAGACACGCCCATGGAGATTGAGAACTGTTTGTACCTCCACAAGATAAGGGTGGAATGGATATGGATCACTGCTTAGGCACCACAAAGTGTCAGATTCCCCACCCTCTGAGGTAATAAGAATGGTATTGCCTGAAAATTTTCAACAGAATAATGTATTAAGAATTATTTTATTTCTGAAATATACAAACTTTAGTTGGAGCTCACCTTTATTATAGGTAGCCATGTGAACTTTTGCTGGTCGGTGAGATGGAGCATTGGCAGCATAACCCGGTGGTAGCCGAACATGAAGCAGGTTAAGGGTGTATGGTCTTACTGCTCTGCTTACACATCCAGTGGTGAAGTATAGCCTTGCACCGTCTGAGTTACACCCACTACATTTAAATGGGTTGACTCCTTAGATTCAATGACTGAAATACTGACAATAGGTCGGAAGTTGTTGCTATCAAGAGTTTTGCTGCAAAGGATAAAATAAAAGAATGAAAATGAATGAAAATAAATGATAAGGTCCAGTTGGTCAACATAAGCAACGAACAAAGTGTAATCTCTTACTTGACAATTTTAATAGCATGCTGCACAATAGATGCCTGAGACATGGCTGTAGTGCGGCTCATTGATTGCCCATCTGCACCCATATCAAACACAGCAATAGTACCCTTGTTTGATAATGTGTACAAAATATGGCGGCTGCTATCAATAACAATTTGAGAGATAGCATCCTCCTCAGCAAATGCTGCACTCAAAAACGAGGGCATAATGTAGGAAAGGGTCCCAACAGAATGATTCACTTTCCGACATCTTTTGCTGAACCATCCACCCTCAGCCTGAAAGATAAGACAAATTATTGCATAATACTTGTTTATAATTCCACTTACAGACTTCACAGCTAAGTGTGGAGCTCAACATAAATTGTTTCTTCTTGAAAAAGTATTTACCTGATATACAATTTCATACAAATTACCATCACGGCCTCCAATAAAAATTCGCCCTGAATCAGTTCCTACAATGGTGGTGGCAATGACGCCATCCGTTGGTACGCTGAATACAGGCTCTAATATTACATGCATTTCCTCATGCTGGCCTGGTGATCGTAAGACATTACAATAAGTTCAAAATTCATTTTGGGACATAATATTGAAATAAGGTGCATTCACACAACCCAACAAACATGAAAATACAGCCTTACCATCAGCTGTGGATGAGAATGTTACTCCTAGGATTACTATGTCTATAGTTGTTGCAAGAATAAGAAGATATCGAATGAAGCTCTTAAAAACTCCAGCCTTTGGACGAATTAAACCAACACATAAAATTGTTTCTCCTAAAGCATCATAATATGCAACATCAGACCTGTTTGAACAAGTAATAACATGTAACGACAATAAAGGCTCAATTGAACTCATTTAAGCAGTCAACTTACCCATGCTCATATGTCCACACATAAATGTCACTGTCAATTGTAAGCCAGGCTCGATGAATATCCGTGAACAGTCCCATCATGCAATGGCATTGCATGTCTGTACTTAAATTAAGGTAACACATTAAAAAAGAGGTACAAGTTTAAAAATCCCTAATATTCTCAACAGAAAATTGCTGCTACACACAGATGGTTTGACCACATCTGTAGTAAAAGGATACGACCAAAATGTTCCATAACTTCCCGAGGGAGAGGAAATTGAAACTGACTTCGTAATTGCTTCAAATCTGCCAGACCACCAGATAGATTGTTCAGACAAGGATAGTCACTGTCATTCATTCCACTTACTGTTGCCCCACCTAAAGCACACAAGAACATGTCAATAAACCGCGGTATTATATTTAACCAGAAACAGATCAAATAATGTTATAGTCCTTACTTTCAGCAGACAATCGCATCATGCTGACAAGTGTCGGAAAGTTGTTGTCTTTGTTGATTTGCAGTTCTATCATTTTCCCTGCAATATCCAGGGAGTCAATGTAAGTTCGATATTGGTCTAGTTGACCGGTGCGGTCCATCACGCTCCCCGTCAAATTCATTTTGAATCTGGAAGAAAAACTAAGTTTAGTTTTACAAGTTGTGCTTCACATCCCGTAACACAAATAACAGGTATGCAATAGGTATGTTAGCACTATCAGATAAAATAATGGCATTTAAATCAAATTACTCAATTAAATTGCGCGCAGATAACTTGTGGGACTTAACATGTAAGAATTAATTTAAATCTTAAACCGGCGCCGACACCTGCATAGAGGTTAGCGCGATGATGACAATTCCCAAAATTGACTACGAAATATAAAATGACCGAGGGAGACTCACCGAGTACAAATAAAATGGAACGAATGTTTCTATTTCATCTGGACATTTAATTATGTGCTGTTTTAATAAAAGAAAACTATGATATAGGAAAGCCGCGCTCCCAACAGGTTTTGTTTCCACAGCAAGAAGCGCGCACAGCGCACAGCGCTATTTTTCACGGAAAAAACGAGAGAAGGGATGACGGTGGTGGGGGAACTGAAAAGTCTATGTGCAGTCACGCAATATTCTTTCACAGCACGAAGAAGCGTTAGTGTCAGGAGCATTTTCCTATTTGATTTAATGAATGATAAATTTTTTCAAGGTTTTATTTGAACTGCGCTGTTTTATGGTCCTAATATCGTGACTCGCTGAGGGACTGAACAAGAGACTGTCTCTTGGAGGGAAGTTTGAAAATCTTATTGTGGGAGGGAAAGGGCGCAAGGGGAAGGTTTTCAGAACAATATTCAACGAGATTCTCTTTTCTGATCAGCCGCTACGCCGGACAGTGAAGCAACAGCAAACACTTAACGCCTGAGCACACACTGTCCTAATCTGGTCACCCTAGGTCACCCCATCCTCTTTTCTCAGAGTCCCAGCTGATTGGCTCCCCTGCAGGGTGGGGGGTGGAAAGTGGGGGCGGCCTGTGTGTGCTGGGGTGTGTAAAGGGTGCAAAGTTCGAGGGTTGCCTTTGAATTTCAGCTTTTTTTAGTCACTAAAGGTGAGTTATGATGTGACGACTGCAAAGCTTTGAAACATTACAACCGTTGACAACGATTACTCTCTGACCTTAAACGAGCCTGACAAGTACAGCCACACAGGCATTTTAGCCAGGTAGCAGCTGAGTGCTCAGTATCTAGCTGTGAAGTCTAGTTCTCTTCTTTTGGGTTCTTGTGTAGGTGTTTTCGTTCCCAGCCCATCAGATTTACAACAAAATTGTTTTCCATTTTTGTAACTTCTTCTCAGATATCTTGGAAATTGTGTTTAACCTATTCAAACCTCCACTTCCCTTTGCCTTTACAGTTTGCTCAGGCCTGGTTTATTTCTGGCTGATGCTTTGCTCTTACAAAATTCTTGGTCTTAGTTATGAACTCTCCCAGAAACAGTATACTTCAACCGCTACAGCTGGGAATATCTTGTGAGATGTATCTTGAGTGTAATGCTTATTATTTCTTCATGTACATTATCTGTTGACAGGCCTCTCAAGCTTTCCACAATGTCGAGCAGTGACAGAGTTAAAATTGATGAACCCTTGTGGGATCAGTCAACGTTTCTTGGACGATTCAAGCACTTTCTATTCATCACAGACCCTCGTTCTTGCATAGTATCTGATGATAAATTATACGAGGCCAAAACCTTGGTGGAGCAATACAGGTGAGGAAAGCTTTATTATGAAATACTAAATTGGGTTGATTATCTTGAATGACTTATCAATGTTGATTTTAGGATTGGTAAAGAGCCTCCAGGCACCACGCAAGACAAAGTTTTGATGGCAAAGAAACTGTATGAGGGGGCCTTTCATCCAGACACTGGAGATTTGCAAAATCTTTTTGGACGGATGTCTTTTCAAGTTCCTGGTGGTATGGCTGTTACTGGAGCCATGCTGACATTTTATAGGTATTTTTGATTAATTTAATTGTCACTTTTGAAAGCTTTTATTCAGGTTGTTCAAAATAATTTTAATAAAATTGTTTATTATTATTTATTTTTAGAACATCTGGAGCTGTCATGTTTTGGCAGTGGGTCAATCAATCTTTCAATGCCTTAGTCAACTATACAAACCGTAACGCAAAATCTCCCCTCACTACTGAACAATTGGGGCTAGCCTATATTTCTGCCACTGCCTCTGCTGGTTTAGTTGCTGTTCAATTCAAGGGTTTTCTGGAAAAGCGAGCAGGATCCTTGATGAAGCGTTATGTGCCCTTTGTTGCTGTTGCCGCTGCCAACTGTGTCAATATTCCTCTTATGCGCCAGAATGAAATTCTTGATGGAAATGACGTGTATGATGAAAATGGGAACAGACTTGGACAGTCTAAGGTAAGCTCCCTTTTCTTTTAAGAACTGTTCTCTTACTTTTCTCTGTATCTTTTCTGACTTAATTTGGTTTCAGGTAGCAGCTGTTGTTGGTATTAGTCAAGTTGTTCTTTCAAGAATAGTCATGTGTGCCCCTGGAATGAGTAAGTGTCGATTCTAGTGAAACTTCTAAATGTTTCTACTCGTTTTTACTCTTTATATTTTGGTACTACATTTCAATTTTGTTTTCACAGCTGTGTTACCTATTATAATGGATCGCCTTGAGAAGCGACCAGCATTTAAACGAGCTACCTGGTTCCACGCCCCATTCCAAACTGTTGCTGTGGGGTGCTTGTGAGTACCTTACCTGATAAGATTATTTGAAATTGCATCAAGCTAAAAAGTTAAACTTGACATTTTACACTTCAGAGATAGGGCTTGGGCTGAGGCAGAAAGGATAATCAATCACCTCATCCCTAACCCTTTTTTAAAAACTCTGAAGTGTAAATTTCTTAAGCTTGATTCTGCTGGAAAAACAATTAACTCCCTTTCTAACAGCATCAATTATTATTTTACCATCATATATTTGTTTAATTCATTGCAGCCTCCTGTTCATGGTTCCATTTGCCTGTGCTATATTCCCTCAAAAAGCGTGAGTTTACTTTTGCTAGTTCCTTTTTCCATTTGCAAATTTTTTTTATATTGATGCTGATTGGGTGTACATGTTCTGTTGTAGGTCCTTGAGTATGAGCACCATAAAGAAATATGAACCTGAAGAGTACATAAAAATAGTGAAGCAAACTAAGGGGCAGGTGCCAGACAGGGTATACTTCAATAAGGGTCTCTAAATGAAACAACTACTGACTACACTAGCAAATCTTCCCACAAAGTGTTTGTGAAACACACATTATTATTTTTTTAAATAGATGTTCTATACACTTTAAATATTTTTTTTGTTTAGAAAGATTTAAATCTGAGTTTAAATGACATTTGAAGGATATGTTTAGTGCCATCTCATTTTTTTCTCCTTGAACTGCAGATTCAATGAACTTAAAGTATTTGTTGAAAAAAAGATGAGCAGGGCAAGTTCACAATCATTGTATTTCTGGAAGTAGAAGCAGAGACGCTGTTGATCCAATTTTGTCAGTGAAAGTTAAATATCAGTCATTCATTATGTCGTATGTAGCATTCCTTAGTTGAAATTAATTTACAAGACAATAATTTTGTGAGTTAGTGTAAGTTAGAATTTTTAAGAAAAATCTTAATCAAGAAATTGTTGCTTTCTGTCTCTCTGTTTAGCACCATGAAATTAGGGTCTGTTTTTATCTCATTGCTTTTTGTTTTTGTATTTATGTACACCTAAGTAATAGAGTGATTGATTGGGTTTTTAAATGGCTTTATTTTTATTTTTTATTTACATTGTATTTTGCATTGAGATTTTGTGATAGGTATAGGTTTTGATGTTACTTAATCTCTCAGTATTGAGCTACGAACTTTTGGCATAGTTAGATCGTAATATAGTGTCTCTTACTGCAAATTAAGATGATACTTGTTGGGCAATGTACTTAATCTGCATTGTTGCGAATTGGATTGTACTCACATCTCTAGTAAGTACACATTTATTGTCTGCAAAATTAAATGGTGAATGACCCTTTGTGTCAGACCACAAAAAAATCTGAATTTCTTAATGAATTTTTGACCGACCCTTAATGTAACCACTTAGGTTCACACTAAACCAAGTGCTAAGTCTTTGATAGAAAAGAAACCAAGCTATAGATACTTATATCAGACCTCACAACTCACAACCAAATACTTCTGAAAGAAGCAGAAAGGCCAAAAATAAGTCAGGATGAATCAACGATACAGCATAATGGATACGGGAATGTTAAGCCGATGACTGTTTGTAGTTCTTTGTGTTCAACATTTTCACTCCACACATTGCACAGATAGCTTTCTTGTAGGCGCATGCTTGACAGTAATGCGACCCTGCCTGGAAGACAGAGAGGTCAAGTTTCAAAATATTGTTCCAATGAAACTTAAAATTTGAAGGAACTGCGATGTATTAATTTTACCTGATGAACTTTCTGTCGACAAATTCGACAGCAGTTGTATGCAGTGGTGTATGGTGAAGCACGAGATCTTGCAGTGAGAGCTTTATTTTCACCTATTTTCCGGCCGCCTCCTTCCGTGGTATTACGAGCACCCGACTTCCAGGGATCAGGTGTGATCACTTTTCCTAACTTCTTCTCGCACTTATCACATACCATGATGGTTGTCTTTGGTTACTGTATCAAACAGGCAGTCAAGGAATAGTAAGATTAAACACATAAGACAACATGCATCAGGAAAAACGTATCAGTGTAAGAAACAGAAGAGGAAAATTTACAAAAAGTTACCTTTTACAACCGTTAGTGTCAATGAAGGCTATATAACCTTCAATATTTCCTGTAGCAGCCTCTGATGCAACCACTAGAAGAATCCCTACTAAGTTATGAGGGAAATGCTTCAAAATGTTTTCATTTGTCTGAACCACAGCAATAGCCAGAAATAGCCAAGGCGCTAGCCTTACGTTCTCTGAACTTTGTGGATTTGCAGCAGACGAACCCTGTTCCTTCTCTTCTTGTTGTTTCGGGTAGCGTGTTTTCTGCCCCTCCTCGGTTACGTTGTTGTTTTCTGCTGTTTTCTCTCTCTCTCTTCCTTGTTCTTCCCACTGTGCTCAATCGCTAAGCGTTTCAACATACGCGGGAGCGACCCAAACAAACCGAACCGCCCCCGACCGACCCAGCCGACGGCGGACGTCAGCGAGAATGGAAATGACTTCTATTTGAGTACTTGCGTTATTGAACGGCTACCAAATCATCTTTTCACCATCGCAACTCTTCTTGATTGTAATGCTCCGACGGCACGCGCGAGCTATCAAAGCCACGGGGGCTTTCCTCCTCTCCTCTGGGTAAGTTTTGCAGAAACATAACCCACACATTTGTTGATTGTTAATTTCAAAATTTAATAAACGGGAACGAAAACAACCTATTTCATGCACGGTGACTTTCTTAGAGGCGTCTGGGTGTGTTACCAAGTTCATACCACTATGAGCATCATTAATGATATACTTCACACAAATATTCTTGATTATGGCCAGAAGAAAGTTGAATATATTTACTGGAAGGACTTGTTGCATCAATGTAAGTTCTATGAAATAATATAATTAATATGTCATTTTTTTAAGCACCTGTGGCTTAACTCTGATAGTCTTTTTGCCACTAACTGATTTCAGCCTATCTATCATCTTTACGTGATGATCGGGATGTAACGGGAAACGAAACAATGCTGGAGACCAATGTGCTTCTTAGATGGTGGATTGCTGCGCAAAAGGCTTTAGCATGGCGCCTGTTGCATGTGGTAACGGCGGGAAACAAGTATGAAAAGCAAAGAGCAATAACTTCCCTTGCAAATCTTAAAAATTTGAGTGGTGGGTACCTTTTTTCGTCACTTTTGCATTTAGAGATGAATTCAACTAAACAGCTGCTCTGTTTTCTTAAATTCTATCATAGACTGGGACTATCAGATGTTAGCTCAAGCATGTGATGCTCAGACAGCTGTGGGTTTGGCTCGCTCGGAAGGTAGTGATATGAGTTTCTTCCTTAAGCCGCCCAAATTCTTTAAAAAGGCTCTCCAGGGAAAGGTGCGTTCTGTCACCATTTATATTTGAATCAGATACTTCAAAAACTAGTTGTAATTGATTTTTCCAAAAAAATTGTTTTGATATTTCAGGAACTAAAGGAAAAAGTTGTGGACATGTTACAAGCTATGGAGAATATTCACCATCATTCATGTTTGGAGAATTTCTTGTCTACATATGAGGTAATACTGCAGAACCATTTTCATCTACGTGTGTGTAAAGCTTACCAAATAGACAAAAATCTAACAAATGCACCTTGTTGTTTTAAATCCCATTTCTAACTTATGACTATTTTTGCATGCAGCGAAAAAAGTGGAGAGCGGTAAGCCTTTATTTCTATTGGCAACAAGAGTACTTCCTAAAATTCATACTCAATGAGATGATTTGTTTATTTAGCACAGTCATGAAGATTCTCCAGGCATGTCCCTGTCTCCGCTTCTGGAAGATGAGCTTGTAGGAAAGGCACTAGAAACTCTGGCCCACCATTGTCTTCTAGATAACAATGCTGCAGGTGAATCATCTACAGTTGATGTTTGTTGTCCTTTGTTTAGAATTTTATAAATTAATCTTATTTTGTTTTATTGTGTTTCTAGATCTACTCAACGTCGGTGCCCTGCCAGTTTTGATGGAGCTAGTTCATTACTTTGAGGGCAACTCAAAAGTGCTGTCTGAGATATTTTCAATAATGTCTTGCCTGTCTGCTGTTCCTGGTGCTTTGAAGGCTTTTCATACCTCTGGTATGCAGATAAATTTGTATTGCCTTTCTATTGGATCACATAAAATCTATCAAATCACTGGATAAATTTTGTGGCTATTTCAGGTTGGATAGGTGCTTTAGCAAAGTGGAGTCGTCATTCAGATGCATCTATAGCTTTGCCATGTGTTAAAGCCTTAGCAAACCTTGATGAAGACTCTCTTGATAGCACATTTTATCCGCACAGAGTGTTTCCTTTACATCCACCATTTAGAAGCAATGGAGATCACAAAGCTGATGTTATATTTGTACATGGGCTTTTGGGAACAATTTATGTCACCTGGAGACAGAGGGACTCGTTCAAACTGGATAGTCCAATTGGTAAAAGCACTTAACATATTTTTATTTTAAATCTTTTTTTTTTTTTTGAGAACAGAACTGCTTTTCAAAAGTGTATTTCTATTTCTAGTGGATACACCTCCAGCTCCCTCCTTTTGGTCAAGCTTATTTATGAATATGGGCTGGAATGGCTGTAAGTAACCACTTCCTGATTCATTCAAAAAAGTATATAATTTGTTGAATATGTGGTATACGGTGTATTTAAAAAAAAAAAAAAAAAACATAATTTTTTTCATTAGCTAGCAAAGTTGAAGATACAAAGAGTGAGACCCCAGAAACAAGCCATTTAAAAGCCCAGCAATACTCAAACCAACTGCTTAACCTGACCAAAGAAGACTATGAATTGCTTGGGAGTGATTTTGAGTATGTATTAGCAGATCTACCCACTTCAGCACTACGCAGTAAACAGGAACCGTATAGCTTGTTTGGGTAAGTTCCTATTAATATGTTCTGCATTACGTACTTAATAACTACCCTACTTATTTAATCATTGATTAATGTTTTTCTTTCTGCCAAGTGTCAAAGGCTTGACTGAAGAACTTTCTAAAGTAGGTCCCTATTCCCGATGCTGGGCCAGAGATTGGTTGCCTAATGATTGTCCCAACGTGCGAGTTTTGGGAATCAACTACACTACAACTTTGTCCCAGTGGTTCCCTAAGTGCCCAAACCAGAATATGAAGTGCGTTTATTTAAAATAATTTGGTGTTGTCTATTGTATTTATCATCGGCATTAATTCTTCTGCCTTGTCATTGTGTAGAGCAAAGATGGCTGACCGCAGCATTGAATATATGCAAATGCTTCACAAAGTTGGAGTGGGGACAAGACCCATTATTTGGGTAACACATTCTATGGGGGGTCTACTTGTAAAGCATATGCTTATCTCAGGCAAGCATGGGCGATATCATTACATGATTTTCCACTTGCACATTTCTATGGTCATTGTTATTGATGTTATACTGTAACTTTTTATTTTCTAGCATATGAAAGTGAGAACAAGGATTTACACAATATATTCCGTAATACAAAAGCAATTGTATTCTTCAGCTGTCCCCATCTAGGGTCTGAAGTTGCTGACTTGAAAATGACGACCGAAAAGTTATTTTGGCCGTCTTTAGAAGTGCAAGAATTAAGATACAGTAAGTAACCATTTTCTATTTTATTATTGGCATAGTGCTCATTGCACAATGTTTGAACAACTATTGTTATTATTTATATTTATGTTATTATTGAATTTTACTCCTCTCTCTGTTGGAAAGGATCTGCTGCCCTTGTAGATTTACACCTTCGATTTCTTCAGCTCCTTGAAGTGTCACGCATGTCTATACTCTCATTCGCTGAGACAAAAGCCACAAGTGTGACTGCCATGAGGTTACCTGTCAACTTTGTTCAGCCTCATTCTGCAGGTAAGTGTGACATTAGTACAACATGAAGCATATTTTAATATGAAAGTAGTTTAAATCCACTGGTTTTTTTTTTCATATGAACAGATCCTGGAGTAGGAGAATTTTTTGAGATCCCTTTGGATCACATTGACATTTGTAAACCCGTAGGGAGGTAAATATAAATAATTTATTTAGGTTGTCTATTTAGTATTTTCATCTAATACTCCCATTTCTCTTGTTTTTAGGCATTCCTTTTTGTACCGGAAAGTAATTGAGTTAATTAATCAGGTTCTCATTGGTCAGTAATTTTGTGATTATGAGAGTTCAATTTTTTTTATCTTTTATCTCTAGTCACTTTGGATCTAGATAGACCTGTTCTGAAGAGTTATTGATGGCTGTATGGTATTTTTTAAGTGTGTGTTGTGATAACTTATTATTGACTTTGAAGAAGCATGAGGACTCCCCTGTTGCATGGAGGAGTTAAAATCAGATCTAGTTATTAGGTGCTCTTTTGAGTTGGCAATGTAGTACTACTTTTACCACTCTAATTGTGACTTGCCAATCAGTATTTTTTCCTACTTTGTAACAATTTTTCTGGCCTGTACTCTATTGTTATCCCCTTTATTTATTTTTCTTGGTATTGTTCAGCAAGATAAATTAAGCATAATCTCTTTATGTGCCAATTTTAAATGTGACTGATGTGATGAATAAAGACTTGCATTTTTTGTTTGGCACATTAAAATAATTGTCCAGGTTTAATAAGTGTCCAACAATAAAGGCTGACGCCCATGAAGTTAATGAAAAGTTTCAAAGAAAAAACTGCATATCTATTCTTTAAATACACATGTAAATTTTATTATATGAAAGAATACATAACCAAGATAAAGTAAAAGAAGCCTTGATGATTAGGGGATGTTAGCAAGGTAGTCCTTGACAGTGCCGGCATCCAATCTCTTGAAACCATTTGCATCACAGATACCAACTTCTATATTGTCTGCAGTGATCTGTCCCTCAAAGCTTTCCTTCAAAGTAAGGATTGCTGTGTGCACTGCATCATCCAGTTCCAAATCTTCACTATACCTGTTCATATAAGTAGCAATTAGCCAATGATAAAAAAAAAAGAAAGGAACAGGAAAATGTGGCAAACCAAATGAGCAACTTTGATCCATCCCATTCATTCATTCATTTAGAGCATTACCTCTTTTCAAGGAAGGTTTTTCCATTGATGAAATTCTTGCCCATAGCAGTTGCTTTCCAGGCGAAGTAGGCACCTGATGGATCACATTGGAACAAATATGGACGATCATTGTCCCAGCCAGCAATCAGAAGAGACACACCAAAAGGCCTTACACCTCTGAAACAATAAATGCATTTACATTAGTAAATAAACATGATGCACAAAGGTAAACATTTTGTTGAAAAATGTGCATGTTAAATTACAAAGCCACTAAAATCTGTCACTTGAAGCACATAACATACCCTGATTGAGTGTACTCCTGCATAACCATAGCAATTCGCTGAACTAATTGCGCAGTTGGAATTGGTTCATTGTACATAAGCTGGTACTGCTGTGCCATCTTTCTAGCTCTCTTCACAAGAAGACGGTAGTCTGGTCCCATACCTACATGCAGAAGATCAAAATAAAATCATTTCCCATTTTTTGTTTCATTGAAACGGTAAGTGAAGCAAATGACACTTACCACTGTAAACCATGCCGATGTGATTTGTGACCATCTCAACCTTATTCACGCTATGTTCTTCATACAAAATAGACTTGTGCTTGTTCTCCGTAGCAAGAACGACTCCATTTGCCGCTAAAATAATCAATCAATTAATACAAGTTCATAAAACAAATAGTCTCGATATCTACACACAGAACCATTACCTTTGATTCCGACGGAGGGTGCACCTGATGCAACTGCAGCCAAAGCATATTCGATCTGCACTAGCTTCCCTGATGGGCTGTGGGAATGAAATGATACCCATTACTAGGCTTGGAAGCAAATGCGTTTATCAATGACAGGAGACAACTAAGCTTAAAAGGCAATGATTCATCAAAGTGCCGGTATTCGAGAAATTCAGAAAATCAAAAAGAACGAACACAGACGTTTGAATGCGTAATGACAACGCTATACGTGCTTTAACAAAGAAGGCTAAATCCTGCCTGAAAAGCCAAATTAACGGAAATCATTGCCGATAAATGTGGAGCCCATAACCTAGACGCCCAAAGGTATTCACCGTAATGGTGAAAAGTGTAAGAGAAACTAACACAGCACATATAAATTAATGAACATGGCAATTTCACTTATACAATGAGACAAAATACACATAAATTACCTGAAAGTTGTGAGTGAAAAACTATAACGTTCAGACGCCATGACGATGCAGCAGTTACAAGACAACCAACACCAACACACTGTGGAGGGGAGCACCTGGAGAGGGAGAGGTGGGTGGGGGGAGAGGGTGAAAAGGGAGGGGGGAGGACGAGGTTCGAGATCTGTGCGATTTTTGAGTCAAACTGTCTCCCAACTGCTAATGTTTGTGACTGAGTTCAGAGAAAGAGGGGCAACATAGTTTGCAAAAATAGGGAATGTAATTTCTGTAATGAACGTGTGGGAGAAATTTATTTCTCTGTATTGTCTTTAATTGAAAGGATAAATCTCGGGTGGCGGGAATGGTTTTCCCTCAAACTTGGGGCTTCCGCTTAGAACCCAACTGATAATTTATCCTTCATTAGAAGGCAGTTTTATTCTTCTCATATGATGCAGAGCACTAAGAAAGAAAATATCATAATTTTAGGAAGTATATTTCGAGATAATAATATGGCTATTGAAAATCAAACTGTTTTCAATGAATTTTCACCAAATAATGTCTTAGAGTAGTTTCCTAATGTACGCAGAAACAAACCATAGCAAAATGACAAGAACATAACTTAAACAAATATCACATCTGAATATTGGTAACGTTCAATTTTACAAACATGGTAGCATATTTTCAAACAAGAAAGAAACCACCAAATAGTAGAAATAGATTCCAAAGACCATACTGAGAGAGGGGGGAGAAAAAAGTGCAACATTTAATGCAATGCTTATGCGAAGGATTCCTTAAATGGTATTAAATCTCTCTCTCTACATTTCACCTCTCTCAAACTTTTTTCTTAAAGTACAGTATCTACAAAATGATTGTGAGAGCAAAAAGATGGATTCTTTGTGTTTCATGAACTGGGCATTACATAAACCACAGCTCTGTTTCTGTTACTCCTGATGTAAATGTATCCTTTGTGCTTTAGTGCGGTATGCAGGCCAACGACACACTGGACAATGGTGGTTATCTCGTTGCAGCCATGCCAAAATGCACCGCTGGTGATAATTGTGACCACATGGAAGGCCACAGAGCACAGACCCATAATTATAACATTCCAAGCAAACAGCACAGTCTGTAGTGGCTAGCATTCCTTCAGGAAGAGTCCAGCCAATTGTAGACTCAGAATCACTTATATCACTCTCCTCAATGTCTGTTTCTAGCCAATGGCAATTTCTACAATTATTCCACACTGAGTTTCTACTTTGCTGGGCACTTGCACTACACGTTGATCCACTTGTTCGTCCAGCTCTGATTTTGTGACAACTATCACGACAATTTTGGCATTTGCCTGGAGCTTTGCTATTGCCAATTGATTTCTTGGTCCAGCCAGGAAATAACGGACAGAAGCACTGGGTTGATTGTTCACTAGCTCCTGCATTTGGGATTTTAAAAGGTGGCTTTGAAGAGCCATTGGAATGAAAATTGGGGTGTTCCTGAGTATAAGTGGAGCCACCTCTGGAATGTGGATGAACTTGTTCTTGAGAGCACAAACAGCCATTTGTAGGATGCAGGAGGGAATCAGAGCTGCCCGTGGAGTTGTGAGTATGGGTCAGGTGTTGAGAACAAGAAATTCTGGGAGAATGATCACCAGTATCCTCTCCCGAACAAACACAGCAGCAAGGGATTAAATTCGGAGGGTCTTCGGCATCCATCATGTGTTCTAAAAACCTGGGTGTCGAAGTATGCAACAACTTATCCCTGATGCAGACAGACGATATGGGTTGCTCCTCAACCACATTCCACCCATGATATCTCCAAACCGGTAAATCCTGAAACAACCAAAAGAAAAATAGGTATGCAGGCATACATAAAAATAAAACACTTTGAAACGTCAGGGAAAAAAAAGGATTGTCAACTTACCTTGATATAATCAACAGGAATAACAGACTGAAGCCAGAAATTTGGAACAGCTAGTCTCTCAATGAGCATTTCAATCCCATCTTCCAGTTCTGTTTGACTTGTAGGCATAGGGCGAGACAGGGAGGCCATTGGACGAAATAAGTAGTTAACCCAATAAGAATCCATTGGCAAAACCTCCCACCATGGTCTTTGATTGGGTAAATCATTGGGAGCAGAGATCAGCCAAGATGGAGCAAAGAATCGAATGAGAACTGACACACTCAAAACAAAGGAAATGAAGCTGGAAACAAACAAAGGATTACTGAAGTAAATTTCGCTGGAAAAACAATTATATGAAACAGACAAAAGATAAGAGTTCAAAATTACCTGATGAGGAATACTATAGGATTTTGAGTGAGCACAGCTAGTTCTGTACGCACAAAGGATCCCGAGTCAGAAAGACCAACCACTCGCAGTATTAATAGCAACCGGTCTATGACAAGACCAAACACCTCAAATCGTGCCATTGCAATAAAAACCAACCACGCAGAAAAAAGCCACAAGTTATATTTGACCAAAGCCCAAAGTGAGTACACAGCCCATCGAAACCACAAGTGGGTTGAAGTCTGTAAGGATAAGATATGATAAACAAAACTATACTCCATTATTAACGTTTAAATTATTTATAACCCTATGCACTTACCAAACAAACTGTAAGACCCACTAGCATGTTCACAAGCAGAAGCGAAAAGAGAAATACATCGTTCATCTCTGGCTGGATTCCCCGAAGGAATACATTCATGGACCACATGTTAAAATACTCCAGCTTTCTTGAGCCATACACAACCTTCTTCTCAGGAGTTATCTGGAAAGTAAAATAAAAATTCTGTAATGCAAACTAACTTTTTTATCATGTTATTGTGTTCTGGGGCTTAGAGACGCACCACAATATACACAGGAAGCTTTCTATCATTCAAGCGCAATCGCTTACGAACTGTTTCAGTGTCCTCTTTCTTCACAGTTAACATTCCAAAATTAACACGTCCTGTAAATTTTATGCTCAGAGCTGCCAAAAATAGGGGTGGCTGTAGAAGCTGAGTCAAAAGAAGAACACTGACAGATGTTGATCCTGTGCCATCTGGTGTAGACAATACATTTTCCTTTGAACCACTAGTATTAATGGTCACATTTTGGCTCATATCAAGCCAGTCTTTTTCAACTTCATCAATGCTCTGTATGCGTTTCACCCATAAAGACAGTTGTTGATGTACCCAATCAACAATGACCTGTAACACAAACAAAATTATTTCAGTGAAACATCTATTTAAAACACAGTAAGGTAAAAAGAAAAGGTAGTCGAAGAAAAGACATACCTGGGGTTTAGAGGATGTAAAAGGCTGCAAAATGACTTTGTCTTTAGCTTTCCTCCCTTTGGGCATGGCTAAAAGTAGGAGAGGTTCCACCCAGCCTTTGGTTTCACAAAGCCTGATAAAAGTTTTAAGCAATGTTTAATTCATAAAGTTTTAGTCTATTTAACTTCAGTAAATGTTAAATTAACTCACTTATAATCCTGCCGGCAATCAAAAATACCAATCCTTATTCCAAATGGTTCCAATTGGTGACAAACCAATCTCCAGTTATAATCATCAAGAAGGGGCTCATTGGAAGTCACAACTTGCACAAGCCAAACACTATCTCGGGTGTCCTCAACCTGCTCATAAAAGTGGGCGCCTCCCGTAAAATGAGAAATGGCAGTAGGTGGCCTAGTCAAACGTTCTTTTAACGGGACAGTTATTGCCGACACTTGTTCAACTTCTCCCATCATTACTTCCGCTAGATGTAGAGGAAAAAATAAATGTAATAAGGTAAGATAAGGATTGTTTAGAGAAAGTAATTCTTATGGCATTTTGAAACAAGATCTCACCTGAATCTTGCAAAACTTGGACTAATTCATTTTTCTCAAAATACTCTGTGTAACTGACACCTCGACTATCCAACAAAAGCTTGATTTGCCGGACCTTTAGCAGGAGGGGATTGACTACCTGAATAGGACTCAGCCCATGTTGGTACCAAAGGATCAGATCAAGAAGGCAAGAGGCAACAAGTACCAGTAGTAAGTATGCAAAAAGCAGCAGCAGCTGCAGCCATGGTGACCGCATTTCTGGCTGTTTGTAATCCAGCCGACGGCCTCACATAACAAGATTTTCCTGAAAAAATAACAACAGTAAAATAATTGAATCATGGCCTAACAAGACAACTTGAATGCAAACACCTCCAGAGGGAGAAAACGTTATCAGTTACTAGCAATTAAAACAGAACATAGATACCACATCAATGTGGTATTCCCTTGACTTTTCGTTATCTTTTATCTTTGTGCCAATGCCACTTGACCACAGTCACAGACCTCCAAATCAAATAACATAAACAACAACAAGAAGTTAGTTCACTGTCCTTATATTTGGAGGACAACCCGCATAAATGGGATGCGTTGCGCCTACTCACAGAAGAACAGGAAACACACAAACTTTAGGTTTCTTAGGTCCTAGTAATTGTTTATCAAACTTTGAACGCGTTTCCTTCCTACATCAAAACATATCAATCAACTATAGGCTTCACTGGCCTCCCAGTCTCGTCAGCTGATCAAGGGAAAACGGAACAGATTGACACTTAACGAAAATATTTAAGAAAACAGGACTTCAACCTACGCAACTTTTTTAAATAGCGCTATAATCATTCCCTGAAACACATTCCACAAAATATCTTAAGATTTCTCGAGATTTTACCTCGATTTTGTCGTCCGTACACTGTTTTGCTTTTCTTCTTCGCGGAAGCTCGATGCTGGAAAAAGGAGGGGGTGATGCGGGGAGGGGGGGGGGGCGAGGAAGGGGAAGGGAAGCACATGGCGGCCATGAGAAATTTAACGGCAACATTCTAAAAATCACTAAAACTCTTCCTAAAACTAATCCATTATCGTTGGCTACCAGCCCTTCATTTTGCACTCGTCGCTAGAAATGAGTATTCATTAAACGAAGAAGCGACGCAATGTGAAGGAATACCACCGGTGAAGTTTTCATGCGCCGGTGTTCAACGACTGAATTTACCATATTTTCGGAAATCACGTGACAGCTATGAGAAATTAATTAACCAAACTTTCGGCAAGGCTCGAGAAGGTTGTTTGTTTATTTACATTTTGCTTGCTTCATTTTGCTGACGATTAAAACGTACTTTTTTCAAAACAACTAAACTATTGGGTGAACTATGAATTAAACTTTGTAGTAATCCTATGTTATTGAGATGGAGCACGTTCCTAGAGATGTACAGGATAGTAGTTTTGAAGCAGAGGTAGAAGCAAGATGTAGCAATGTTGAAGCAAGTAATCCTGTACTCGATGAACAAGGTGCTGAAAAATTGAAAGGAGATGCTATTGGTAACACACTCTACAGTGAGAGTGGATTATTGAAGACCCTTATCTCTCTCTCAAAGGTACCTAAATTTTTCAATGAAATGAAAGTGTTGCTCAAGTTTGAGTGAAACTCGATCTATGAGGCACTATAAAAATCTTTTCCATTTTCAGTTTAATGATGATGCCTGGTCTGAGCAATTTGAAGAGCAGCTCTGCTTTTTATGGGATATGACTTTTGAAGATGACGTCATTGCTGTTCTCTTGCAACATGACTTTATTAACTTGGCTTGTCAAGTTATTCAAACATCCTCTGTGCCCAGACTAATTGTTAGTTCCCGCTCTACTTTAAAAATCTTCCTGTGGAAGAACTTACACAACAATTTTACTACTCGTTTTTCTTTCAGGAAATTCTTATTGGCATTTTGGGGAACATGAGTGCTCGCAAAGAAGTTCGCATACATCTCGCTCATTCAAGCACTGCGGATATTTTGATTTCATTACTTGCAACTTCTGACTCTCTTACACTGCTGCAGCTGGTTAGATTGTTAAACTCATGTGTATGGCATGTGAACAGGAGCTCTCACACAAATGACGGTGAACTACAGGATGAAGAGAAGCATTTAGATTTACATGCTGAGGTAGAATCCTGGATTGCACTTCTGAAGAATAATTCAGGTGCCCTGAATGAACACTTATCATTCATTTTAAAAAGCTCAACAAATGGTATGTACATATTGCATGTTTCAGTAAAAAGTAAATAAATGAATGAATGAATGGATGACAGTTGTCAACTGCTCCCAATTTTTAGAGGAACTTCTTCAGTCTACATTGGAACTTTTAAACAATCTGTGTTGTACAACATCCAAGAATCATTATTTCAGTGAATTCCTTTCAACCTCCAGTAAGTAACACCCTGGTTCCTCCTACTCACATTGTTTTAGAAGTCAGGTACAGGCAGTGCCAAGTTCATGATATTTATTTTCTGCACCCCTTGTTTTAGTGCTGTTGGAAGGCTTGACTGAGGCTCTACATCAATTACTAGATGTTGGAGAGGAAAAGGAAGCAAATGTTGTGTGGGGAGACAAATCTGAGAAAGCTGCTCAACATTGGACACAGACTTTGAGTGCATTTACTTTGCATCATGCTGGCACAGACCTCATTTGTAAGTAGTGGTTGATGTTCTTTTTCAGCAAAATTTGTTTTGTATTTCAGTGCCTTTCATTCTAATTCATAACTTGTCTTTCTAACAGATGATCAGAGACAAATAATTATGCGGAGTTTGTGCAGCATTTTAGACCCCCTTGGCTTACAAGAGAACATCTTCCCACTTGATTCTAGGAAATTGGAGATCTTGGATTCTATTCTTGATGTCATAGACTGTCTTAAAAACAAAAAAAACTACTCACCCCCTGCTCTTTTGCCAAGGATCCTTACGATTTTATCTTTCCTTTCTGTTGTGACCAAAGATACTGGTAATATTCACAATTGTTCGTTTCACAGCTCCTTGCATTTTTTATTAAATAATTCAAATTGCGTTTGTTTTCATGCATTTAGGAGACCAAGCTGATACTCCAGAAGAAAGTGACAATGAAGAAAGCCTGGAAATGCAATGGGAAGTTCAAAGTAGACTGTTCACATACTGTTTCTCTGTCTTATGTGATATCGACTTAACAGAATTTTTGGAAGCTTTTGGAGACAATCCTATTCCTAAAGTCAGAGCATTGCTGTCTAGCCTGTCACAGTGCTCCGATCACAAAATTGTGAAAATAACGACTGTAATTGAAAGACTTTTGACCTAGTTCTATGAAGTTCAGTACTCTTATACAAGCTTATGGACCATCTTATTTATTTCTTTTTGGATAAATTTGTAAACCAAGAAACAAGCAAAGTCTTAAATAATTATGAATGCAATTTTTTGTAACATTAAATTATATAATTGAATAGACAAGTATCTTTTCATTATTTCATGAACTCCATTTTCCTGTCATGGCCACAATAAACAAACAACCAATGAGGTCAAAGTACAAGGAGCAAGCAGAGGGCAATCAGCTTTGGGGTCTCGCCATAAATTATTTTATCAGTGCCAAGGGTGACTGATGCATTGACAAGGGAGTAAATCTCATACCTCATGGAAACCTCAAAGTGACATTAAGTTGTTCCTCCAAGGAGTATTGTTCTTTAATTTTTTGAGTCACCTTATTTATTGCTGGGCCCTTATCACTTCAGAGAGCCAGACACAGCAGAAGAAACACAGATAGTCACACAAGTGCCTTGCCCTGCTCCTTCAATATGTTTCGTGCAGTTTCAGTGGTTGTTTTGGCATTATTTGCCATAATTGTACAAGACAATTATGCTTTGGGTGAGTCTTAAGTTTGAGCCCCTGTAAGAATGTCATAAGTTAATTATTTTATCATTTAACAGCAATATATAGATGCCTTTTCCCCTCATAAACTTAAAAGACATGTAACTGAGATATGAAAAGAAGATTATTGTACTATACAACCTCATAAATCATGGCCAAACATTACACAGGATCGGATCAACAAGTGCTTGTTTCATTGGAAGGAGAGGCACGTAAGCTAGAATATGTGACAGAGAAAGCAGCAAACCATTGCACCTGCATTGAATACAACTGTGGCTGCTGTGCTCACCTTGTTGAAAAGGAGATAAGGCTGGATAGTACCAGTAAGTGACTAACATCTTCTCCACAACTATCTCGCAAAGTGATATACAACAGAGTGTTTTCTTTTAGTTTGTGCAAATGCAACGTACCTCAAGCGAGACTATGGTTTCTCATTGACGGTAACATTCAACAAATTCACAGTTTTCAATGAAACTATGTCATGTAAGTACTAACAGTATTATTTCACTAATGATATCGATCAAAGTTATTGATGGTTCTTCACATTCCAGTGAGGAATCCTCCACCTGTGTGTATGGGTGCCCCATTTGTAAAGGAGTTTGCAGAGGTTTGTGTGAAGATTTATGATATCCAAGCTTCAGCTGCTCACCTTCATGCTTGTGTCGAAGCAGAAGCCCGCCTCAAGCACATTCATGTTGCCAAGTACGAACTTGGATGTTTTGACATGACAGGAGAAAGCCTCAGGAGAGCTGTAGAACAGCTTGAGAATGAAATTCTGTGATGATTTGTAAAGTTTGGTAGAGAAACCAGATTGCTACAAAAGAAATGTTGTAAACACATATAATTCGCCATAAAGATTAAAAACAGCTGCCTCTATTTCATAATGTTCTTGAATCACACACAAAGGTTAAATACATCCTAACACAGGGAAAATCACAATGCTGGTTCCCATTTTGAATACTGATGATCAAATACGCAATGGAAGCTACAGTAACATAAAATTAAACCAAGTACAGGTGTTATTCAGTCAAAATACTGTCTGCTCCAGAACAGGTAAGCCAGTGGCTGCTTTCAATACACAAATTTCCTTCTACAATATTTACAGAGCAAAAATACACATAAATCAAGGTAGGAATTTCATTGACGACAGATTGTTGGTGAAAAGAAAATTTATCTAAATCTATTAAGTATAGTACTTGTATGGTTTCTATAAATGAAAAAAACAAACAAAGGTTCCAGTTCAATCCTCACTGCTTACTTGCTATGGAACTCAGCCAGGCAGAGCCTGCAGCTCCATGAACCTTCTGGAGGAGATGTCAAGGGTGGAGACAGGCAGTACATGTGGTAGCCGCGATCGCAGTCATCGCAAAATAGTAGCTGGTCCTGTCAAATCAAAAATTAATTTAATTTAAGACATGTTACACACAAAGAAAAACAAGTGTATTAAGAGGAACCTTAAAACTTACATCATTATCAGAGTTGCCACAAATGGAGCAACACTTGCATTCAATGCACTGCCACCGATATTTGCGGTAAGAAATGATCATATTAGCAGTAAATTGCAGACATGACGGGTGACCTGCAAACCAAACACAAGGAGTGAAGGAATTTAAGACAGAATATATTTTGACACACTGATAGCCTGGAGGGTTAATTACCCGAACGTCCACAATCAGCACAAGATACAAGTACTTCAGGAGCACCAGACTTCTTGTTTTCACTGGCATCTCCCAAGCAAAAGTCACAATACGGAGAGGGATTCGCTTTTGGACGTCGGTCTTCAAACGATAATCCACCCTGTTAAGAGGAACAAAGAATGTATTAACTAAAGGAAGTTAAAAACACTAATTGTGTGGTTATTATTTGTCAAAATATTTTAACTATTGAGAAAGAGAAATAGACAAATTGAATCAAACCAAACCAAATCCAAGAATTGAATTCCATTCAATGTGGAGCCCACTAGATGTACAAAACTTTTCAAACTCAAAGCTATCTGAAGAAAGTTAACTTCACCATAGGTATAATTAACATAAAAATTGAATACTCACACTTAGTTACTAAGTTAATTAAAGTACTGTGGAAAATAAGAATTTTATCTTTGATTCATGCAGTGTGAGGTTTTTAACACGCGTGAGGTGTGCTACTCGCTATTTTGGACTAATACATAATCTAACAGGTATAGACGATACTTCAAAATTAATGAATATCAAAGAAACTGAGGTAAAACGTAGTGTGTTTTATCTCCATGACTGAGTGCAAACAAGGAAACAAGAAAAAAATGGAAATCACACACCAAAATAGGGATGGGACAAAAGAGGCAAACAACACACAAAGTTGTAGGGTAGGGTCAAACTACGCTAAATTTTGCTTGTCCATCACCATCATGCGAGCAAGAGGAAGAAAACACTTTAAGAAGTAGATCAAATCTACTTTCTGTTTAATTGTGTATACTGTGTCAAACCAATACAGTCTCATCTTAATAGAATATCAATTTACGATAAATAATTCAAAACAAATCATCACAAATAAAAAGTGAAGGGTGACTTATACTTGCAAGAGAGAACCATCTACATTACTTCATGCACACTAGGCTAATCTGCAAAGCTTTTTGTATATTAAATGCTAATTATACACTAAAAAAAATAAAAAATAATTGTGTGTTTATGTACAACTCCGCTTCTAAACTAACTTGGGCTTGTATCATGCCAATGTAAGTGGAAAAGGGGAGAGAAGGAAATGTAAATGCAGAAAAGAATGGGGTGTAAAACATACAGTAAGATTTTACCAACACTTTTAGAACAATGATCCTCATCTTCAACTTAACACATAGTGGGCTCCACATTTTTTAAAAATCTACATAAGATAAGAACATTGAAACTTTCATTCTAAGCCTTGTCATTTCACCATTGAACAAAATAATTCTTCTGTCGTGATTTATATTGGACACATAAGATAAGGTAAAATGGCAAGCAATTTCCTTGATTGAAGACATGTAACTAGATGAGAACATGCTTTTGGTTGAAAACAGTTTCAAATGTTAACATATGATTCTGCTTTGTGAATGAACGCTTTTTCATATATATATATAAATATATAAGTGAGCAGCAATGACAACCAACATCAGCCAATAATATTGCATCTTAAATAGACAGCATGATACTGACATCATAATTGCAAAGGAGAAAGGCTGAAAAGTTTGCCACCAATGCTAAAACAAAGTACAAAGAAGATGGACCCATGCAACATAAAATTTTGAAAAACTAAATGTAAGATAAAATAGTATTGTGAGCTGAAGGAAACCTAAGATTTTTTTACATGGGACCATCCACTTAACAGCTGTGATGGCAATCAACAGCAAGGCCTACTCACAAACTGCAGATCATGCTGCTCCCCTGCTCACTTGAAAGGCCACCACCACTGATGTTGGCCAACAAAGGTATCTTGTTCTGTGGAGAACCGCTCAGCCTCATTCATCAGCACAGGCTTTCTTCTTTGGCATTTCAATTCAGTCCTATCACTGTCATATAGTGCTCCTATCACACTAGAAAAACTATCACTATTTACGTCCTCAATCATAAATCATAATTTATATATATTACAAATGAACTTATTACAGAAAATAGTAACATTACAATAAATTTTGGCAGGATTGCCAATGATTGCAACATAACTATAAGTAACAAAAGAAGTTCAGAAAATAATGCTTTAAATAGTAACAACAATAATAATAATAATCTTGTGGGTGTTGGTTCCAGCAGTATCACTTGAAAGTTTAACAAAAAGAAAGGCTAACAAGTTGTTTAAAAATCTCACAGCTCATTGAAAGGAACTACAAACACATGGTGCCTCTACCAATTGTATTGTATTATGTATATAGGAAATAATTTCAAACACAGACATGTGCTCTTTTCACAGATTAACAAAGACTAGCTAACTAAATTTGCAACGGAAGGGCGTGTCAGGGGTCATCTTCGTGCCGAGAACTGCACAAACAAAACGTAGCCAACATTACTTAACCGCAAACTGACAGGGGATCATTAAATCAATAACACTCTGGAACCACAAAAGAAAACAGCAAATGCTTTAACTGCATAACCAGTTTCAAAAAACCCTTATTTACATTTCACTATTGAAAGGAGTGAACAAACTCAAGAGACGCAGGGGGAAAAGGATAATCAGCTGATACTGTTGCTAGGGACATTCCTGTTGCATGCATACATAAAACCAGAAAATGAAGTGCAATTTTAGAAAGTTTTTCCCATTTGCTGTCAATCAGGTACATTAACCAGACACAACGCACCCCAGCATCCGTCCAATGTTATATACAATAAATCCACAACACACAGATAGTATTAAGTCTTGAACCGTCATGTTCACTGCTGTACCAAAGTGCTATAATTAAAAAGAAACACAGAAGGAAACACCTTCAAAACCAGATCAACCTGCAGTTTCATCTACTAAATTGGTCCACATAAAGAAAAAGGGCAGGGGGGATGGGACATGTTCAAAGCATTCATCAGCCTTCAAACCGTCACAGATCATTCCAAGAAAGACAATTTTGTGGAGGATTCACAAAATACCTATTATTTGAGTGTGAGGAAAGAAAAGTACTTTAAAATTCCTCAACATAAATTAAGGAGAGTGATATTCAGCACACATTGTATGGGATACATACAAAATTTCACCTTGGTAAGTGATGGGGAATAAGTCAATATAATAATATGATAATAATAATGGTTTCAGTGTAATGAACCTGACAAACAATGCCTCAACATATTACAAGATGCATCATCACAAACACAGTTTGCTACACTCACCACAATAAGTGATTTAATACGTTCACAAAAGTGGAAGTAAAATTGGAACTGAGCATTTAGTTTCTCTCATTAACAAAAGAAAAAAAATGTGGAGACCCATCATTTTACCTAGACATTCTAAGGCCTAGGTAAAAGTTGTGTTGAAGTTGAGTATGTTGTATTTATTATAACTGTACTTTGAAGAAGGTGATAAAGCAAGAGGTGGTTTAAAAGCACTAGAGTTATTATTTAAAAAAAGATAAGACCTGTGCAAAAGCTTTTTAGGTTCCAACCAGAAAGCAAATTACTATTCCTTGCAAGAGGAGAGTGGCCCAGGGTTGTAAAAAGCAAACTGCATAGTAGCCATGCATTATTCCTCTATGACCCCAGCCCTCCACAGCATGTACTAAAATAGCTTACATTGAAGACTAATTCCATAAATTTGGATTTTGTTTCATAAGCACATTGCTTCAGAAGGCAGAACCAGAACCACATTATCTCTGGCTCTGAAATGTTCCTCTGGAGCACAGGAATAGTTTAGGAAAAGTGTCCCTTCCTTCCAAGATTGCAAAAAATTAGTGTTACCAAAAATGTGTCTATCCAACTTGCAAAAGATGGAGACTAAAGATCCCATTTCACTGGCATCGACATTGACAAGCTACTGAATTACAAGCAGATGAGGGTGCTTGGTTTGGTTTGAGTTACCACAGAGTCATGCGTAAAATCATGCATTATGGACACGTACCTCCAAGGGACCTCCCATCATCATCTTCCTCATTTCTGAGTTAGGATCTGAGTCTTCTCCGGCTGGGGTAGTGGGTCTTGAATGGCCTGCTGACGATGGTGTAGGCTTGGTACCAGAGGCACCTTTCGCCTTCTTGGGACTTCCTTCTGTTAAAATAAGAACAAAAGGCTCAGTATCTAAGGTACCAGAAAGACCAATCCAGAATAATACCAAACTATAAGGAAACAATTTTTTTTTAAATAAATAGTAGAGTGAAATCATTATATAAATGCAGAAAGCACCTTAACTGATTTGTACAAAACAAAGAGCAAACCACTTAATTTTTCAACATGCTAAGAAACAAAGGAAGAAAAGAAGAAAGAAAGATGTTCCACAATGTTAAATCAAAGCTCTAAGAACCAATGCTGATAAGTTGATTCTTCCTAGACAAGATGCTATATCTAAATCCCCCAAAAAATGAAATTATGCAGCACAAGAACCTGATAAGGTTGAAATGACAGACTCTACTCAGATTATCTTGGCATCAAAACAGAATGCACATGTTGTTGCACAATAGTAACTACACAATTGTCAACATCAGGTCACCATATACCACAGTTAAAGGTCATTTTCCAAATCACCCAAAAGCCAATCTAACACATAACTAAAAAAAATTATTTTGAACCACCGCCACCAAATTATATTGGTTTTAAAACCATAAAGACTGCTAATATGCAATTATGCACACGGGTACACAAAGCAATCACAGTCGCACTTCCATTAAATCATTTTTGCCATTCAAACATCAATAGTAAGATAAAGATGTCAAGTGACTTTTGATAAGTCAGAAAGCAAGGTAGTAATGTAATATAGTGATAACTCTAAAAACCATTCAAAAAGAATTCAAATTGCAAACAAATGGAACCTAATAACCTGGTATAAGTTTGTCCGATAGCCTTGTGTTAAAACAGACCCTTGTGCTGCAGATTTCACATTGTTAATTATTATTATTATTATTATCATTAAGACTTTTAAAAAGAATGGCGGCTGAGTGATGAGCCACACCTGCAGATTTGGATCCAACCAAAACCAAGATAACAAGGGTCTTAAGAATTTAGAACAAAAATTCTAAGGTCACTTAAAGATTGTTTGCAATATGCTCACATTAAGAAACAAGCAAAAATAGTAGCAACATTTCATGAAAACATGTTAAGAAAATAACTGCATTTTATCAAGCAAACAAAAATGGATCTAACCACATCATTATTACCAATTTCAAAACTTATAAAGAACAATTATTTGAAGTCATTATATTGCTGTGAACACTGCCATACTGGAGCCAAGGACTCAAGGCCACACCTGTTGCTTTTCATTTTACATCCACCTTAATTAAGCAACCTGTATGATATAGATGATGGCAAACACTGGCTCATGATTGGAACCGTCTAACAATTGACTACTTGAATAAGAGAGTTATAAGGTTCTGCTTAAAGCCACCGATTCAGAAATAAAAGAAGAATTAAATACTGAAAGAATTATGGTCTAGAAAGACCATATTAAGTAAAAAATCTTAAAGGTTTGCAGTGCTGTACAGCTAAACCAAGATTTAGTTTCAAAGCATGCAAACAAAACAAAGAAATAAGGCAGTAACATAGACAGGTTTATCCAATCACGTCAACAAATGAACTGTCATAAACAAACTGAATCTTTACTACCTTATGTTTAAACTAATTCTCTACACAAGACTAAATTGTACAGACAAGCATTGCAACCAACAAAAATGTAGACTAAATTATAAATATAGAACTCAGGGAAAAGAAAATTTCAAACTGGCCGGCCAACATCATACATGAGACTAAACAAAGCCCAAAACTATTCTGAAAAAGTAATTAGGTTAAAAAAAAAACAGGGGAAAAACTAATACATAAGTAAAAAGGAAAAACATAATTAAAAATTAAAATAAACTCGGTAATACAAGAGATGCGGAGCAAGCTAAAGAGCATACCAGGGGATTTAAGGAAGGTGAGATACGAGTCTTGGAACTTGCTCCAGCCTGCTGCTTGGTTGTGTCCGGCTGCTTGGCCCGGGGCCTGGCCGTCCGGGCTCTTCAGCGAGTCCCCGTTGCCGTGCCCTGTCGCGCTGCCGGAGGCCATGTCCCCCGGCATCGAGCCCGCGCCCCCTGGGGGCCCACCCACGCCCCCTGAGGGGCCATGGCCCATACTACCGCCAGGACCTCCTGGGCTCTGGCCCCCCATGGCCCCCATGGGCCCGCCCCCAATGGGGCCTGTGCTTGAGTCGTCCTCATCCAGGTCTTTGTTCTTGTGCGAGTGGGTGAAGTGGTAAGTTAGCCCGGGCCGCGTCTTGTACCTGGCCCCGCAAACTACGGGAGTGGAGACACAAATTTGGTTCACTCAAAGGCACCAGATAAATGGAGAGGCAAGAGAGAAGCAGGAAGGAGGAATGGAGAAAGGGAGCAACATAGAGAAGGGGAACACACAGGGAGGTTAGAAAATTACACAAGAATTGGACTTGGTCCATGATCATGCATTTTAAACCCAGGGGAAAAGGGGGAGGAAAAGGAGGGAGGGGAACAATCAACATATCAGGTAGATTGGGCAAGGCATTGGCATCAATCCTTTTTCTTTTAAGGAAAAAACTGTCATCAAAAAGTTATAGGTACAAAGTTAAGAAATATATTAGCTACAATGAACAACCAATAAATTCTGGTGAATTTTGGAACAAAAAGAACACATGTCAAACAATGGGATTAAATGGCATTTTAAGAATGCTGTTGCAGCTCTAAGCATTAATTTCATTTTTCTTGAATTTTAATGTTTCAAATTCAACAGCAAAAGAAATTTGAATAATCATGCCAACTTGTCTTCCTTGAAAGCACACATGCCACATGAGGAGAATAAGAAACAATGGAAACCCCAATCACACCGTATCCACTTTCACATGCTTCAGCACCCTACTCCCAGAGAACTTCCTTGCCATTTAGATTACAAGCAATGCACCCAATAGAGCTAACTAAGAAATGGTTCAGTACATGGAAACATATCTTGGTGGTAGATTAACAATTGTGTGTCGATTTGCAAAAACAGGCATCTAAAACCACAAATTTCAGCTTGTGACTTCAAGAATTCACTAACAATTCCTTACAATATTCATGCACTGATACAAGCTTGAGTCAAAAGTAAATTGGAAGACGTGACAGAGAAAGCACTTTTAACTTACAAATAGAAAATGGCTTTAAATTTAAGGCTAACTTATCACTGGCAACCACCTCAGTTGACAGATTATTTTATTGTGCGATAAAAAATGCGCCTCTGACTCATAAGATGATAAGAGATTAGTTAATAATTAGACTGACAGAAAGCCAACTGAAGGTAGCAAGCTACTGACGAATCGGGCGCAATGTTTGATGGAGAAATGATTGATATTATAAGTCTGATCAACCAAAAATATGTAAGATAAAATTTAGTTTGCATTATGGTTTAACATAGTCCATGTCACCTTCAAATAATAAAAGAAGACCACCAAAGAAAATATAAACATTTGAGCTGAAGTCTAGTGGAGTATTTTCTTACAAATTACTACAGAGTAGGGACAATGCTGGTTAGGTACCATTTTGCTAGTCAAAATTAAATGGCAGAAATGCACAAATCTCTAAAAATTAATAACTGTGTTTTACCATAAGAGCACAACTGTTACGGCTTTTGCTTTGAATAAATACTACAGTGGAACCTGAATAAAAGTGATGCCCATTGCAGATGGTTTTCCAGACGTTAAGGAGTACTAAACCATATCCATGAGCCAAGCTATTTGAGGAACATTCAGGATACACTTTGTTTCAAGCAAACACAACTTTGTGCAAAGTTGTCACCTTTACAAGCAGGTTCCACTGTATCATAAAGGTATAAATGGGTAATTAATAGGCAAATGAACGTGATTCAACGCAAATGATGAGAAGATCATGCTATTTAAATGATGAATAAATCTAACACCAAAATTACAGCAATCTACAACACCACATGCTGATTTGAAAGCCAAAAAGAATGCAGTCTGTTATGGTTTAAAATGCACAACGTTTAAATATTGGCCTTTAGATGACCATACAAAGGAAATTTATATTTATGTTTTAAGAATGTGCACATGATTCACAACCAAGACACAGATTTTGTAACTTTCAAAGGACAATAACATATTGTTTTACAAATTTGAAGGAATTACAGAAAAATAACTTACATCAAGCAATGACAAGGTGATAGTGTGTAACTTCATTACAAATTGGAACATGCACAAATTACAACACATGCAATGAGTCAAAATAAAAAAAAATTCTTTAAATGTTTAAATGATCCCTTAAACAGATGACAACCACCCAACAGAATTGTTATTTCTATTCTATTACCATAGGTATGAAACATGGATTATAAGGAATTAAACAAATTCAGCCATGTGATACATTTTCACATTATAAAGGGGGTATCTCATTTCACTACCCTTCCATTCACTCCTTAACAGCTCCTCTCCACAAGCTCCTCTCCACTCTGAAAGCTCCATCACCATTTCCATTCAGCAACCAATTATCACCAACATTGCAACCAATGCAATACCAACACCAAAAAAACAACACCCCTGTTCATACACATTTGTGACTCCCCCAAAATGTTAATCATTCTTTAAACACAACATTGCCATTCAATCCACATAAGTTACAACAATAGAAAATTAAAAGGTTATCTTTGTGAAGGAAATTTTTACTGTCATTTCTGAAAAGTTGTGCCAATTGATAATAAGTCTTCCCCGTAAAGACTTCTGTATCCCCATGAATTGAGGAAGAAAAGAAAGAAAGAGTGCTAATGTTCAAGAAAATTAGATGTGCACAGGGTAATTGACAGTAAATTACACAGAAGCGAACTTGATTAAGCCACAGAAATAGTTAGAAAAAATATATTGACTTACTATCACAGCCAAAAGGTTTTTCCGGATCTGAAGGGTCTGGATATACTGTAGGATTTTTCTTTTGCCTTCCTCGGCCAGCAGGCTGGAATAAAACACGACAAATAAAACAAGACAGAACACAGAATTTCAATAAATTAATTTGAGTGTTTTCTGCAGTTTCTTACTTTTGCTTTCTTGTTGTGGGGTGAATCATTGGATGATGACCCTCGAGCTGGTTTGGAACTACGTTTTTTCTTTTTCCGGTAAGACTCTTCATAGTCATAATCTGAGTCAGGATCAGGTTCATCAAAGCCTTCCATGTCAAACATGTCATCTTCGTTGATGTACCAGTCCTACGCAAGAGTGAAGATAATTTAATTATTGATAATCAATTACTCATGAAATTATGATTATGAAGCAAATTGCACTGGGAAATAATTAGCTAATTTGAAGAAGTCTTTCATCTAACCTTGGGATCTTCTTTCAGGCTGTCTTTGCTGGCTTCATCATTACCGACAGAAACCGCAGCAGGATTTTCGACTGTGCTAATTGTGTGGAAATGCTCTCCAGCCTCATCACCTGCTTCTTTGGGAGGCATCACGGTGCCCCTACGTGGTTGCAAAAAACTTGACAGATACTGACGCCGCTTTTTCCGCCACCGCTTGGAGGGGTAAGTATAAATCTGCCCCTGAAGGAATCCAGGGAGTCGGTGACGGGCAGCCATGAACAGATTGGAATGGTTCTGGGCCACACCTACAATGAACGATAGGAAGTTGGACAATTACTTGGCTGCCAAGTGTATTCCTCACAGTAGGGAGGCAAGAGGCAAAGAGAGAATCTGACCTGTTTGAGAGTCCAAGAAAGGCATACGCAGTCTTCTTTCGATGCATAGTCGAGTGTTGTAGTTGACAGAGCTTTCCACGGTTTCTCTGTACTGGGAGTCATTGAGGAAGCTGCAGAACCACAACGAGATAGAACGTTAGATTTTCAGTTCGGTAGGTCGTCTTTCAGCATGAAATCTAGGAAATGCCTTCAAACTACACATGAACATTTTAAATTTACACGAGGAATGTGTCAAACCCACATATATATAGAGTAATATTAGTCAGTACTTTTCCAACCAAAGAGGAGGCACCCCCGGGTCCCGGGCCACGACGAAATACGTGTCAAGAACGCAGAAAGGCGTTTCGGAAGATAGGGAAATGTGTTCACGGGGTGCCGAGGGATATTTGAAGATCGGAAGACAGTGTTAAAAGTGTTTTTACCTTTCAATTTTTTCCAATAAAGTCGGACCTGCAGTTTCCACCGCACACGACGCCATGGTGAGGTGAGGAACGCAAGCAAAATGGTCGCTAAACAACAACAACCACTATCGGGCCACCAACCCTACAACGGTGAATAACGTGCTGGCTGTGTTTTAAATTTCTGTCACGTTATCTACATTCTTAAAGGGCCACAACCCACAAAACAGTTATTGAAGCTACGAGAATGACCACGTTGCGAGAGGTGAAAAGCAGAGGCTTTTTCTTTTCAACACGCACAATCCGGCAACACAACTTAACTGTAAGGTGCTGCGATCTGGTGACGATTTCAGCAATCCCGAAAACGAAAACAATTGAGAAGCGAGTGGTAGTTGGCTGAAGTTGTCTGCTCAGCTCGAGTGGTAAATAAAAACACCTAGTCCTTGTTCTTTTATTTATTGGTTTTGCGTTCTTCTGGACCTGACATTTATCAATCGTGTGTGTAAATTTGAGCTTTCTTCGCACTTGTGTGAAGAGTTCCTGGGTCGCCATGGACTGATTCAAATGAAACTGGTGAGTACAGTCTCATTACTGTCTATCCTGCAATCAGTTATTAACCTTAACAGTCGTCATTTACTTAAAGTTTTGAACTTGCCTCTGCGCTTACTGTGCTCTCCTATCTAATTGTTTTAGCTCTGAAAACTGTTTGCTCAATGACTAAAGGTCTTTTTAATTTTTTTTTTTTTACAATGGATTTTTGCCCATTTCAGTTGCAAATATTCTATGACAAATACTTCATTTTTAATTTATTCCTGCCTGTCATCCTGTGAGTTGCAGGTGCAATCTCTGTATGCTTGGTCTTCTGAGGATGATTTATGCACCGTTAATATGCATTTCAAAGAGGATACATTTTCATAAAATTGACTAGAACACATCATTCTTTTTTACGCATGGCATTCCTTGCACCCATAAATACATATGTTACATCTTAACATTGTAGATAAGAATTATTTGCAATCATAGAATATGATCACAGTAACGGTTGTTTTGGCATCCTCTTATTTCCACATGATGATTTAGATGAAAACGCCAAAGGCACTGAAAAGGGCTCCTTATGGCAATTTAATGGCGGTAACGGAGCATAGCCTTTAATGCAATGTAATTTTTTCATTTAGAACTAATTAATGCAGCAAGTTTGGCAATAACCTTCCACCCCTTTCCCCCTCCCTTCCCTCTTCCCTGGGCTCGCCCCTGGGCCCGCCCCTGGGCTTGCGGTGTAATGGATGACTGGGACGCCGAGCTGGGGCACCTGGGGTACCTTACGAGAATGACGGAGGGGGCTGCGCGTGTTTCACGCTCGCACCCGTTTTCTCCGTCAGTTTCTGTCGCCACCAGCCAAGGGACCAGGGAGCCCTTCCGGACGGCCCCTTATCCGACGCGACCGCCAACCAAGTCGCGAGCCTGTTCGGGCTGGCGCGGGGCGGGCCAGATAAACCGAACTAGGGACAGGAAGCGGGGAAAAGTGAGTTCGACGACGGGGCGGGGACGGCGAGAAGCGAGAACGAACCAGTTGAAAAGGAAGCTCGGTCGGATAAAATCTGACACGCGTCTTCCCTCTTCGGCCTCCCCTTCCCCCTCCCTCCCCGCGCAGGGACTACCAGGGACTTCCAGGGACGAAGCAGAGACTACCAAGGAGTGTGCACGGTGGTGCCTCTCTCATTTCGCCACCTCAATTAGAGCGTGCACACGCGGATAAATTGGAGTGTGCACGTTGGGTTGGTCTCGTCTGGCGAAGCAACAAACACCGATGGAGGAGCAGCAGCTCGTCAAGAGGGTCAAGTGGCAGGGCGCGGCGCGGCGCGGCGGCCGGGGAGGCGAAGCGGGGCGGGGCAGCCGGGGCACCGTCGCGCACTGGCAGGGCAGTGGCAGGCACTGGCACGCTGGTCGAACTCGAACGCCAAACTCGCTTTACTTCCATTTACTTCGCCGTCGCGCTGCGCGTCTGAAGTTCGGCTTGCCGTTGCCGCTGGCGGCGTTCGCCCCGTTGGAGGCGCACGGCAGGCGCACAGGCCCACGGCATGCCGAATGTTCGATTCAAGCGGAAGGGGGCGGGGGCGGCTTCGCGACTTGTTATCGCAAAACCTGGCGCTCTGCTTCAGTCAGGTCAGGGAAGTCAGCAGAAGTCAGGGCAGGGCGTGGAGGTCAGTGCTCCGGGCCTCCGCGCTACACTCTAACTATGGGGTGCCCAGCAACTGGGCGCCTTTGTCGCCCGCCCCACTTTTTAGGGTGCCAAATGTCGCCCAGTACCTGGGCACCTTTGTCACACAGTCTCGGGGTGGACAAACCATTAAGAAACCTGCCTTCACCCATAGCTCACCAGCGACTGAGGTGCCGAAGGTGCCCAGAATCTAGGCACCTTAGTCGCCCAGGATCTAGACACCTGAGCATGCTCTACCATGGGAGAGGGCCGGTTATTGTATGATTTGTCCACCCCGAGACTGGGCGACAAAGATGCCCAGAAACTGGGCGACATTTGGCACCCTAAAAAGTGGGGCGGGCGACAAAGGCGCCCAGTTGCTGGGCACCCCATATTTAGAGTGTAGGCAAGCCAGGCAAGCCACTTCGGGGAGGGCGGACGGCTGGCGAGCCAAGCAGAGTCCTCGTCGCCCTGTCTCTGCTCCCACACTCTAATATCCGCACTTGTGAGTTACTCGTTCGTAACCCCCGCGATAGAGCTGCAGCATTGGACAGCCTCATCGGTAAGGGCATAGAGAGGGGCGGATCAAAGCGCGGCGCTCGTCTCGCGGCCTGCGTGAGCAGTACACTGCGAGGAATCCATTTGTCTCTCTCGCACTTGTCCGCGCCACCCGTAGAGGTGCGAGAGAGACTCTCGGAATGAGTCCTGGCCCGGCCTCGCTCTGTCCTTCGCGGCAGAATCCCGTTGGCGCTGGCAGGCTGGCACGTTGGCACCCCACCCTTATCAAGCCCCGGCCGTGCCTCGCCGTGCCTCGCCGTGCCTCGCCGTGCCGGCACAGTGTAAGCCCTGGCCCATCCCGCCCCTCCTTCCTCGCCGTCATGTTTTAACCATCGTCCCTAAGGCACTGGTCCGCCGCTCGGCTGGTCCGCTGAATAGACTGCGACGTTCGTGGCGGCAGGGCGGCAGGGCGCAGGGCGGCAGCGGCAGTGGATAATGCGGCCGTGATCGCGCCGACGCGACGCCAGCGAAGCCTCGGCCGCCAAAAGCCCCGCCAGCCTTTCACGCGCCGAAACGCCACGTCCGACGACGTCCCTTTTCCTCCTTTTTGTAGTAATGTCGCGTTGTGGTTCTGGTTTGTAACGACGCGTTGGTCATCTCGAGGGGTCGTTGACTGCCGTCCCACTGCCAGAGCGTCAGCGTGTCTGTCTGTCTGTCTGTCGGTCCGGCCGTCTATCCCACTGCCTGTCCGGAGTGTCCGGGCCAACTTTTCAGATAGACCGGCACCGCGCGGCACCGCGTGCCCCCCGCTAGGGCTGTGCCATTGTGTAGGGAGGACCCGTTGCGCGGCTAAAGGCCTGCAGTCCGAACAGGGCTCTCTGTCTCTCTCGCGCCCCCACGTGACGTGACGTTACGCCCCACGAGCGTGCGGGAGAGACTGGGCGACGAAAGCGCCGTTCGGGCTTAGGCTTCGTCAACGTGTCCCCCTCATAAAACAGCATTACTGCTCTGCCACGGCGGTGCCGCGGCGGTTTCGCACTGTATCCCGGCCGAGGCTCACTTGCTGCGACGTTGACGCCGGGCGGGGCGGCGGCGAGGTTCGCGGAGACCAAGGAAAAGCATTGTGTTTGCTTTCATTCCGGCTTGTGTTTGCAAATGAAGTTGAATCTCAAAGTGTAGAACGTAGGGAATGGTGTGCGTGTGTGTGTGTGTGTGTGTGTGTGCCCGCCTTATGGCACCGCGGCTGGCGATGTAATGCTCCGGGCATCACGCAAACACACTCTCATGGAGGTTAAGGGGGAGGGGGCGTTCGGGGAGACACTTGGCACTGGTAGGCTAGTGTGGTGGCGGGGCGGGGCGGGGCGCTTGGAGGCCCAGGCCCGGGGCGCCCGGTGCCCCCGCGGTGCGGCCTGGCTCGGCTCGGCGGGCCTGCCTGCGGCGCGGCTGGCGCGGCGGGTTCAGTGTTCAGTCGCGGTCTGCTCGCTGCCGCCAGTAGGCCAGCCGCTTGCCGCTCCAGCCCGACGGCCTCGACGGCGTCGTCTGCTGCGCGCTCTGCTGCGTCGTCTGCTCCAGTGCGCGTGCCGCACGTGCGCTCCGTGTCGTGATCGCGCACGTCGCGAGCGGCCAGGCCGGCCAGGCCAGACAGTCCAGCACCCCTAGGGCCCTGCCCCAACCAAGCGCCGCCGGTGAGTCAAGCCCCGTGCTGCGTCGCGGCCTCGCGGGTCGGAAGTGTTGTCGTCCACGGGGAGGGAAGTAGCGGCCGCTACCCCACGCGCCGAAAGCGGCGGCAAGGCGCGGCCAAAAGTCGCGTGGGGTATCGGCAGGGTGATTTGGCGCTCCACTGACAGTGACAGGCCGAGTGAGAGGGCGACGCCGCGGGCGGCACGCGAGGGGAGGCCCTGCAACGCCGTGCCCTTCAATCGAGCCTTCAACGCCGTGCCCTGCAACGCCGTGCCCTGCAACGCCGTGCCCTGCAACGCCGTGCCCCGCCAAGGCGCGGCCCGCGTAACGCCGCCGTGCCCGCACTGCAGTCGGCTTTCTCCTGTATGGACCGCGGCACTTATTACAGACCCAGCCAGCCGGCGGGCACGGCGGGCCAAACCATGTGGGGCTCGATTCGGGGGCCGAGGAGCGCGGACGCTGCGCGGACGCTCGGCGGACGCGGGACCGTCGCGCGCAGGACGAATCAACTGCAGCCGGTGCTTCCCTAATTAAATCTGACACCTGCTGCATCGTATTGCCGCGGCGTGCGCGTGCATGTGTGATTCTGTTCCTGTGTTTGGAAGACCCCCTTCTGGAAAGTGGGAAGAGAGGAGGGGGGGGATGCCGCTTTTTAAACCGGTTCAGAGAACGTGTCAGGTCGGCAGAAGGCTCTGCGATCTGGAGCTTCGTATTCCTTCGACTTTGTGTGCCTGTCTGTGTGCGTGTGTCTCTGTGTGAGCGTTTCCGCGCGCGTGTGTGCGTGAGCCTTGCCAGGACACGCGGCCTATTACACTGAACTCCAGGTCGACTCTGTCTGTCTGTCTGCCTGCCAGTGTGTCTGTCCGTTAGAGCGACGCCATGTCGGCTCCGCGGCGAAACCGCGGCTCCACGGACGTGTTGAGACGGACGGTCGTGATCGAG